CATTCAGCTAACTTATCTAGATCGTTTTGTAGTACCAACCTATCATCGTTATTATTTACAGTTTTCCATATCTTAATATCGTCCGCAAATAATAAGGAAGATGAAGTAAGAATTTTCCGCACGTCATTCACGTATAATAGGAATAGGAGGGGGCCAAGTACAGTTCCCCTAGGTACTCTAGTTAGTACTGCTTTTCACCCTGACAGAACACTATTAATCCTTACCTTCTGCCTTGTATCCATCAGGTAGTCGCTAAACCATTTACATGAGCGTTGTTCTAATCCAATACGTTTGAGTTTATTAGGAAGACCTAAACGGGATACCTTATCGAATGTTTTACTAGGATCGATAAAGACAACTTCCAATAGTTGGTTCTTATCCCTGGCTTCGGCCCAATATTCCCCAACTAACCGTAAGTTTGTCAGGCAGGATCGTCCTGGTCAGAATCCGTGCTGCCCCACCTCCAGTAGACCATGTTTCTCTATGTGAGTTAAAAGCTGATCCCTTACGAGTGTTTTAAATAGCCTTGGCCTTTTAAATCTTGTCTCTCCCTGTAGGATATATTGACGAGATCACCACAAGGTGCTCAAATCGAAGGTGAGTAACACGTGTGGAATTTAGATTCTCTCACAGAGTGGTCAACGACCGGAACTTCTTCCTTGATTCAGTAGTAACAGCTCTATTAGTGAACTCTTTCAAAGAGAAACTAGATATCTGGAGAGAGATATATATCACAAGGATTAACATGGGCAATTAGAACGGTTATTCTTATAATCTGTATCGATATCCGTATGTAAAATCTTATTTTGGGGTTGAAGTGTGACTTTAGGTTCTGAAGCGGCTTTGTGACGATTGGTAACTTAAATAACGTCTCACTTGATTTCACCCCCTAGCAGCATTAATGGTATCTCAGTGCAATGTATGAATGCTGAAATAGTCATCCTTATTTTGGTATATAAGTTTTATGCTGAAAAGCTTTTCTGAAGGAATCTAGTTGTGCATCCCTGGCGGATTATTTAAGTCCACTAGGGATTCCTAAAGGAGAATTCTTACACGTACGTTAGAGTGAAAATTATCATCCTAGGGTGTGGCAATTATTTCTGAATAATCTAACGAGTTTCAATTTTGAATTCATGTTTAATTACTGACAACTTCGAAAAGTCCCAGTTTGCCATTATCCCTGTGATAATTTGCAGTTTGAATTGAGCATTATTTCCTCAGGTGCTTGTTTGGATGTAAACCAGGGTGGCTCTGTTTAGCTTTTACCTTTTCGACTACATGTGTTACATGTCTTACCCTACTAGTCGACCAAAACTCAGCATCCCAGTTTGACTTTCGATCCTAACGTTAGATTACCTTTAATTTCATTATTTCCAAGCATACTGCATACTTGTGAACGAAAGCATTTATCCTTAAAACCCTCCAGTTTGATATACCTTTGGCAGCCGCAAAATATAAGCGAAAGAATTCTGTGCAAAATACACTCGTTTTGTTGGTATTGGCTTTTCACTTCTATACCGGATGAATTTGGATGAATCTTTCTCAGTCGTTCGAAGATTTTATCTGCAACTGATATCTAAGTGCTTGTTCAGCTTCTTAAATAAACGAAACAAAGAATACGAGCAACCGCTGTTATTAAACCAGGGGTTGGTTCTAAGTGTTTTTGTTGAATCATGTCACACATTCAAGTGCAGATTTTGTTCAGGATACTGCATTTTGTCAATGGCTCGATATAGAAACTTCATGAACTGTTATATGGCCACAGGATTTCGAATAGAATGAATTAACTGACATAATGTTCTTTTGTCTGTCTCTGTCTGTCTGGATTCAACATAGAACTTGGCACCGAAGTGCACCAGTTCGAGTTGCCACGTTCCAAATAGCACACAGGTAGACAAGAAGGTGAGTGAAGAGAATCAACAGAGTTTGACAAGTATAAGAGTGAAATAGAATGGGTAATGGTAGAAAGGAATATGAAAGATTATAGAGACTGAATACATCTGCGCTGGCCATTGACAAAGATTTTGAGCCATGTCACCTATTGTCTCCAGCCATTGATTCCTAGAGTCCCGGGGCCCCCGACCCGGGAGTCTGCATCTCCCTCCCTACCTGACTCAGTTTAACTGTCAAGGATTTCATGGATTGATGAGGCCATGTTTTTGTTTGGCCACCACTGGCTCTTTTCCAACCTGCACCTATATCAGCTAGTAATGCTCGTCGGGGGAGGCGGTGGTTAGGCATGAGCAGCACGTGACCTAGCCATCTCAATCTATGTAACTTTATAGCCTCGTCGATTGATTTTCCCTCTTTGCCCAACACTCTACGCCTAGCGTCAACATTACTTACCTTATTAAACCACCTAACGTGAGACAGAGATCGCAGACATCTATGATCGAAAGCAGTCAACCTTTTCATGTCTTCAACGCGTATTGGCCATGTTTCAGAGCCATAGAGAAGGACGGAGCGAACTGATGAGCAGTACACACGTCCCTTGGTTGATAACCGGATGTCACGCCTACGCCAGAGATGGTGTAAGTCAGCGAAAGCAGCTCGAGCTTTTCGGATCCGTGCTGAGATTTCATCGCCAATCAGTCCGTTGGTGCTAATACAACTTCCCAAATAGGTGAAGTGGTCAACATGTTCTATCACTTCACTCCCTATCACTAAGTTAGTTGACGTGGTCCAGTCCTGTAGCAGCATCTTACACTACAGGACTGCCACTTTCCATAGCTAAAATTGCCACAATACGACAGTCAAATGATGTCTGTAACTTAAAAAATATTACAGACATTAAGTTCTGTCGATTACACCTTTGGTACAAAATACGACAAAAGGTGGACACTCAATCAATGCACCTTTATTTCAGTCTGGAATCTCCCTCGTCTTCAGTTTGTTTATACCGAGCTTGAACCTAAAATATAAGCTATTGTGTCATTGAAGTTGGTCATGTTACAGTCGTCACAACAAATCTGCTTCCTTGTAAACGATGAGAATCCGATACAACTGTCATAAGTTCCCGTACTCCAAGTAGTATCCTAGATAGGCTAGGCAATAATTCACCACTACTATTTTTAAACACCTCTAGAGTCAGACCATTAGATCCTACCACTCTGCATCGTTTCCCAACTCAGACGGCTTTGGTAAGATCAGTTACACTTTAAGAACCCATGTTTACATTCCATTCAGGTTGGAATTGGATGGTGATCAACTGTTGTAGCAGTTGCAGGTCAGTTGGACTGATCCTCGGAATTTTCTTCCCAATGTTCCAGCCGTATATCTTGCGAAGTTATCGCAGCTCCCATAGAATAGGTGATTCCAAGATCGTGAATCTTTACCAATTTTTTTTATTTATATCGATTTACATTCTATCTTTTCGAACAATGCTATGTAATTTGAGAGTAAATTCAAGTTTAAAGCTACAATGATAAATGAAATCCCTTACCGCTAGTCTGAACCAAACGTAGTGGTATCCTTCAGCTGTAGCTAGTCTTACTAAAGCTGTTTGCAGGGTAAAACGATGAAAAGGAGAGGAATCTAATAGCTTGACTTCATGAGTGTTTAACAATGTTGGTGATGAATCATTGACTAGCTTATCTAGGATATTACTTAGTGTATGGGAACTTGTGACAGTTGTAGCGGACCTATGTAGATTGTCTGTGATCTTAGTTTACGAAGCAGGGAACATTTCTTGTGATAACCACAGAGGAGTTGCATCAGTGAAAGGAAGGCACAGAAGGATCAACTTGTACTGATGCATATCTGTGAGTAGTTCTGTATTGATTCACCAGTATGCTTCCACTATGTACGACCATTATAGTGATGATAATTTGCTAATATCATGTCTTGCATTTAAAACCACCACATTTATGTAGTAGGACATGTTAAATTGTTGTACATCGTATCCATCTTTTCACAACAAGGCAAACACTTTGCTGCCGACTTATTTTTCTGGACCGTAGAAGGCTGATTAAATCTCTGTGCATTTAACAAATGTGGAATGCGTGTTAAACATACTCAAATATTTATTTCAAGTGTTCAGAAAACGTGTTTTATTGTTACCGGCTAAAAAAAACTATACATTAATATATGTGTAACAAGGCAGGAATAAAAGTGACTGGTATTCAAACCCACAAACTCAGTTGGAAACAAGCTTTGTCAGTTAAGGGATAAGTCCTGTGGAGCCTTTAAAACAAAACAATTTAGTTTATCTAATACCCTGCCCGCAACTAGCGTCAAATAAAATGCATTGGTCAGAGTAGTAGAACGAGAGCAGTCAGACTAGCTGAGCATAAGAACCTATCACAATCTAGATTAGTTGATCCGAATAGGATAAGAAATCTAGAGAATAGTTCATCTATAGGACTACACCATATGCAATTACACACAACCATACAACAGGATGGATGGGATAAGATGACAGTTTTAAAATCTAATGTAACAGGGTTTAGGGATAAATCGATAACGGGAGCCATGTTTATCTCATCATGTGCAAACACATGTAATAGGAATGATTCAACACCTGTCTGGCCGGACGTCTGCAAAATTCTACTACTCCAACGACGAAAAACAGGAGAAAACAAAGAAATCTATAAAACTCGAATTTCGCAGTTGTGTGGTTATTATTGATATGATTATAAGGAATGGAGAATTGTGTTCGAAACGTCGTCATCCAGTAAATAATACTGTTTCATCACTGTGTAATATATCTGATAGATAAATTAATCTGAAAACTGTACATTTTCCATATACCGAACTAGTCACTAGGCAGCAAAGCACAATCCCAGCGAAACAATAGAGCACTAAATTGCATTCAAATTATTCGGTCTTTTTCCCGCATATTTTGAGTACATATGAGTTTTCCACTGAATTTGTTTATAAAAAGTGTGCATATCTACTTAGTATTTAAGAGGTATAACAATAAGCTTTAATTATCTTTATTGATTTCTAAATTTCAGCCGTGAAGTTTCCTAACAAACTGGATTTAACTTTTCACCACAAAAATGAATAAAGTGATTTTAAACAGATACAGAATTGTCTACCTGCATTTATCTCGGTATAATTCTATCAAGACATATAGAGCTGATAATCCTGAAATACATGCAAGGGACAGTGAATTCAAGCAACCACCCGGCTATCTTCCACCACACATATGGATGAAGCAGCGTCAAGAGAAAGAAGCTTTGAAAAAAGCTTTATTCGGTGAAGGCAAGAAAGAGCACACACTAGCAGAAAAGACATACCTATCATGTGCTTCGCATGCTTCTCTCTCTGGTGCGCCAGTCACAGAAGACTTCTCTTACGAAATTGTCAATAATGTGAGTCGTTGTCCGTCGTAATGTTCGGACTATTTGAATAAGTGATTCACTGTGTATTTATGTTTCTGTTGAAGTTTTGTCTGCAGAATTTTTAATTCATGAGATAATAAAAAGCAACGGTGTTTATCTAAAGGTTTCAATAATGTACTAGTTTTTCAGGAGATTCTTTTCTGAAGGAAAGTTCAGAGCTATAGAAATTGACAAACATTTCCTGACCATTCTGGTGTCTTATTTTCTTGTTCCTTTGCGTTCCAAGTGGAATGTAGAGCTCCAGCCTTCAGTACTAGTGATTTTGTCACGATGTGGGGTTAATAGACGACTTACGGCCAACCTTTCCCTTTTCCTGAGCTTGTTATCTAACTAGGACAATGTGCGTATTGGGTAACCATTCTACCCATTATCCCCATTTCTATTTAATTTTATATCTGTACTAATGGATTTAACCCTGACTCACTTCAGAGATTGACTTGTTACCTGGGGATAATCTGTTGACTTGGAATATGCAGACGATATAGTCCTTCTAGGCGAGGACGCTGACAAAATGTAGAGTCTTCTGAACACCTTGAGCTGCAATCTACGAATGTTTGGCATGCGATTCGCTCCAACCAAATGTAAGATGATGTTACAGGACTGGACTACATTGACTGCTAGTTTAGAAATAGGGAGCGAAGTGGTCGAGCACGTCGACCGCTTCACTTATTTGAGAAGTACCATCAGCCCCAAAGGGTTGATCTCTGATGAAATCTCAGCACGAATACAGGGGGCTCGTCTCGCATTTGCCAGTTTACGCCATCTCTGGCGTAGACGAGATATCCGACTATCGACCAAAGGGCGAGTGTACTGCTCATCAGTCCGCTCCGTCCTCCTTTATGGCTGTGAGACCTGGCTACTGACAGTGGAAGACATGAAAAGATTAGCTGTCTTTGATCATAGGTGCCTGCGTTCTATCTCCCGTGTGAAGTGGCATAATAAGGTGAGCAACATTGAGGTTAGGCGTCGAGTTCTAGGTAAAGATGGGAAATAAATCGACGAAGTCGTGAAGTTACAAAGACTGAGATGGTTAGGACATGTGTTACGTAGGCATGCCTGATCATCGCCTCCCTCGACGAGCAATGTCAGCTGATATAGGGTCAGGCTGGAAAAGAGCTGGAGGCGGTCAAACAAAAACTTGTCACCAGTCAATGAAATCCACAACAGTTAGTTTAAGCCTGTCACGTAGGAAGGTGTAGACTTCCGGGTTGGGGTCCTCGGGACGGTAAAAACCAATGGTTGGAAACTATTGGTGATATGGTTCACAGTCGTTCTCAATGGATGGCACAGATGCATCCACTCCTTGTGACTTATGATTTCCAATGAAACTATGTTATTCTTCGTTATTACTCTTCCTTTGTCTCACACCTCTGTTCACTGTCTCTATTATGCCTTTCTTGTACTTTCTTCTGTTGCTTTGTGTGCTACATGGAGGGAGTGTGGCGACTTGAAATGCCACACATCGGCGCAAAGTTTTATGTCGAAAACAGACAAACAGAAACTGTTCTACCAATGAACCGTTCCAATGCCTAGATACACGTTCATGCTTGTAATTCTGAGCGAAGTTGTCGGAAATTACTATTCTTCGCACCTACTTTGCATAATTTCCTTTTTTCTTTGATTTGATGTTGTTTTTTTCTTTTCAGATCACTGAAATCCCGAAATTGGATATAAAATTGTTGAGTAATCTTAATTCTATGGGATTATTTGATCTGACTCCTGTTCAGAAACATGCTATCGGTATAATGTCAGTTGATGAATATGAAAAGGTTGATGTAACAAAGAGTAAATCAAATCTTGACGAAGAAGATGCACCAAATAATTATCCTCTATATGAACGTGTCACTGGTAAATATGACTTAATGGCTGCTGCACAAACTGGATCGGGTAAAACACTGGCTTATCTTCTTCCATCGTTAAATCGTTTACTTCGAGTTTATCCATACGAAGCAATGCAGTCTCTAGTAAGTAGAATATTCGATTTTTATGAATTATAAAGTGTTTACGGTTTATTCTTATCACTAGACTCTCAGTCGTAAGATTGTAATAAGTTAGGCTGCGTTATACTAGCTAATTTGTAAGAACTCAACTAGCTTGGACAGATTTCTCATGTATATTGAGCTAGAGGCCACCATTCATTGTATAATGATTTATGGTATTACACAGTTATATCTAGGTTGGAGTAGTTGGAGCAAGATTGTCACGCGAACAAGTCGTTAGTTTTAACTGATAAGCTACTCTGTATTGTGAATAATTAAGGTTGTTGTCGTCGTGGTAGTTGTTGCAGTTAAATCTGACTTCTATGTCTACCTTACTCAGTGTGGAGAATATTTTCAGGTGGTTATTTGACTGTGGTGTTCTGTGTCTAGAGGTGCACTTTGGTCAAGATAAACGGCAGCCACAAGAACAGTAGCACTGCGTTGCGTTACAGCAGTGCCCTTGACCAATTTGGCAACTTCCTGATATGGAGAAATTGACATATCTAAGTTGAGTCTAGGCGGGTTCCCAGGCTTTCATTTCTTTCTCATATTATTGCTAAGTTGAGGCTGCTAACCCCCCAACCCGACCAAACTTTTCCGCTTTTCTCGCCTTAGGGTGTGGTAGTGATAAACTAGGCAAGGTTTGGCCTATTGAATTACTGATTTGATTTATTACATGTATGCATGAATGTGCGTCGGTGGCACAGCAGTAGAATGCCCAATAACCACGCATGTGGTCCAGGGTTTGATCCCCGACCGACACACACTCCCTTAACTCGCTAAGCCAGTAAAAAGACTGGTAAAGAGGGAAGGTTGAGCATGAGGCTAGCAACCCTATCCTGTAAAAATAAACACCACTGCTACCGAAACTTCAAGTCACTAGCTTGAAGCCCGATGTTCCAGCGGGAACGCAAAGGAATAAAAAGAATTGTTTGCATGAATATCGGATTGAATTCAGTCAGAAGTGCATAATGATTTGTTTGACATCTCGTTTATAATTTGTTACTACTTTCAGTATCTCCGGGGTAGAGGTGTTGCCTCATTCCGTTAGCACATGTGCTGTGTTAATTTGATGCACAGAGATATGGAGATTAATCAATCTCTCCACCTAACTATATATTACTTTTTAATACTTTCACCCTATCCCATCCTGATTTGTAATTACATACACGTGAATGCAATGCAATAGCCTAGCATTTGTCTAGATTGTTTGACTTAGCAGGGTCAATCATTTTAGGTTTAGCTAAATTTTTGTGTTCCAATAATCCAGTTGACCACGATCTACTAGTTTGATGGACCTATGTAATTGATCTCACTAGGAGTCATTATAGGTTACTTGGTAAATTATATTATTTCCCTTAATTGGATCTATTGGATCCTTAAGCCAACAAAATACATATATCTCTGAGAGAGTTGGTTGGTTGGTTTAAATGTCGCCGTAATTCCAACGTCATTGAGAATCCTATGTAAGCCCTTTGACTTTCTTTTATTTATGCGGCAGTACTACAGAGGATTTCAATTTTTTATTATTTTCGTCATTTTTGAAAACAAAACACCGCAGTCCAGCGAAGAGTCTCTTTTCAGAAGCGAATTTATTCACGTACTTGTACAATCGTAATTAAATATACTTATTTTTCTAGGTATGAGTGTGTACATTAGTTTTGTTCGATAGGGCTAAAAATAAGTTGGGGTTATTGTTGTCAAGACATTTCAAAAATTTATTTATTTATTTTGATTTACAGCTTGATTCCACACTGTATTTTTGGTACAAGTATGGAATTTTCAGCACGGATATCGGTAGCCCAAATTTTGCAGGCCGATCATAGATATCAGGTGTGCGTCGGCAGGGGATCGAACCTCGGACCATGTGCATGGTCGGAGAGAGTCCTAACCACTGTGCTACCGACGCACATGTGATGAGTAATCGAACTGTAACTAGAAGGGGGAGGGTCAAGATTGGTAAGAGGGTAGTGGTGATGTGTTATCAAAAAACAACATAGTTATTCATGTCAGTTAACGCATGAAAGAAGTTGAATAAGCGTGATATAGTTACGCAATAAGGTGAATAGTTTAATGAGCAAGTTGTGATTAGGATGCACACAGAAACAAAGGAAAATATGGAATTATGTTAGAGTTCTAAAAACTACAAATGTTACAAGGAGCTAGAAAAATAACAAGCACACAAACATCAAGTCATCTGAAGTCAAGTTGGGTGATTTTCTTTTGTATGCATAACTCTGGTCTTTTCCAACTGAATGGCTAAGGCTTCAGTAATACAAAGGAGTTATTAAGAAGACAATTGCAGCGAAGAAAGTATTCTTTTCGACGAATTCATCATCTAGGCTGTACATTCGTGTATTTATATCAAATGGATGGAAAAGTTCCAGAATAATATCCGGTCAAGGGTCAAATTAATAAAAATTACAATTAGGAATTAGAATGCCATAATAAACAGGGGGATGGATAAAACAAACAAAGTAGCATCATGATAGCTAAGAAGATTGAAATTGTGCAATTAGGAGTTAGAAATGTAGAAATAACAAAATAGACAGGATGTTTGGATAAGAACTAATGTGATGAATAATTGTTTATGTAATCAGGGATCAAATATGTAGAAATAGTAAAATGACAAAATAAACACGAAGTTCGGGTATGAAAATATGGTAGTGTAAACAGGGATTAAGAAAAACTTAAAATAACATGAATAAACAGGAAGTTTAGGCAAGAAAGGCGATGGGATGTTCATTACTAGAAAATTACCTGTTTATGATGGCCATGGCAGAGACAGGGGTTGGACGTATTTCTTTTGGATACAAAGCGTGGGTTTGAGCTTTTGTATAGCTAGCGCTTCGGCTATGCCTAGATGTCTTGATTTCACTCCCTTTCATAGGTTTGATTGAATCTTGTATATTACTTTGAAGGATTTTTCGAAAAGTGCTGAATGTCCTGAATTGACCAGATGTTATGTCACTGAACTGTATACACGCTTTTGGTCTCCTTTTACTAACCAGGCTGGGTAGTGTTCACGAGCGCGTTTTTCAAGTCGACGCATGGTACGGCCTATGTACTCAGCTCCACAAGAGCAAGTAAACTGGTATATGCACATTGAGGTGGCCCAATGCGACAGCTTGTCTTTCGCGTTCTGGCTGAACAGTTTCTTGCAGGAAAACGTCAGTCGTAGGCTCGCTGCGAAATATGTTTTCCTTAGCGATTTGGAGAGGCATTTGCGAAGGATTTCTGCTTCAATATCACCTTTGAATTCTAGATTAAGCAGAAGTATTTTCTTTGGAACGGATTGGACTTGTTCGGAAGTCTTCTTAGGTTTGAGATTCTTGTCTATGAACCTGGGCGGGAAACCGTTTTCCATCAGGGTTTTTCGAAGATTACGCAGTTCTTCTTCAACCACTTCCTCGCTGCATATCTTGCGAATCCTCGAGGAAAGAGCGTATATCAGGTTCCTCTTTCTGCTTAGGGGCACGAAGCTTTGAAAGTTGACGAATTGTCCATTCCACGTAGACTTTTTGTATATGGACCATTTCAGAGAGTTGTCGGCGTTTCTTGTCAGATGGACGTCGAGGACGTGGAACATTCCGTCGGATTCAGTCTCAAGTGTAAAGTCGATGTTTGGGTGGGAATTATTGAAGATTTGAAGTAGTTTTTTTACATCACAATTCTCATCACAAATAATGAAAGTGTCATCGATGTATCTCTTGTAGAGATGGAGGTCGTTGATAGTCGGTGATAAGGCGTTGTTCTCTAAGCTAGCCATAAAGCAATTGGCTAGGAGAGGGGTCCTAAGGGAGAACCCATTGCTACTCCATCTACTTGCCTGTATATTTCCTTGTTGAAACTAAGGTATACGTTGAAGGTGCATCGAAGGAACAGTTCCTTCAGGTAGTGGATCGGTATACCGACATCGTTGCTATTGCATTGAATGTAATCACAAAGGAAGCATACGATTTCTGTCAGCGGAACGTTGGTGAAGAGAGACACGACATCCAGGGAGACCATTTTCTTTTCTGCCACACTGACATTCTTAATTGAATCAACAAAGTCGAATGTGTCACGGAGGTCGTGTCTTGACACAATGTCAATCTTCTTAGCTATCATGATGCTACTTTGTTTGTTTTATCCATCCCCCTGTTTATTATGGCATTCTAATTCCTAATTGTAATTTTTATTAATTTGACCCTTGACCGGATATTATTCTGGAACTTTTCCATCCATTTGATATAATAAAAAGGAGATGAAAGTGTATTGCGTTTGGTAGGTTGTTCTCCACTTTGTAGGAAGGCGTTTGTTTAGATAACAGAATGACCAGTGTTGAGGAGATCTGCGATTATCGCACTCCTTATACAGACACTATTACCTTTTTTACAGTCATGCGAGATAGTGTTATTGAGCCTTTTTGAACAGGGTACGCGTCCAGTGATCAATGTATCCGGCTCCCCTCCTACAACAGGCGGATTGTTCTACATGTAGATTAGTTTCCTTTACCGGTTGAACACTGGTGGTTATTGTTCGTCAATAAGCTGTATGTATACAATAATTACACTTTGCTTTTAAGTTTTGAGGAAATATTGAATTACTTGTAACTTATAAATAATATATGTGTTTATTATCTATTCTATCTGGCGATTTTATTAATTTTATTTATTTTTTCTATAAACTTTTATATGTAATGACAAGCTCAACTCTCGTTCCCCATGCCAGTATCCTTCATCATTGATTTTGGCACCAACTCGTGAACTAGTCCAGCAGATTCTATCAGAATTACTCAAGGTAATTATTACTTTTACATTATAACAATAATAATTTCCATCGTTTATTTATAGTTATGCAATCAGACTTTTGTTCGTCCCGTAGCTGTATATGGTGGTGATCGACCAGAAAAACAGTTGTATGAATTACAAAAAGGATGTCATTTAATTGTTGCCACTCCAGGTAGACTTTTGGACTTTCTACAGCGGGATGCAATATGTTTGAAATTCTGCAGGTATTTTTATTTATTTTTATCAGTTTTTCTGTATTACTTTTGTCATCATTTCAGTTATCTCAAAATGTTTGTTGTTTAAGTTGTGAATGAATTTTGTCTATTCACATTTACTGGTGCAATTCAGGTGTTTTCCTGATGAAGACAGTGTTTGTTTAATGAAAATTATTCGCCTTGGTAAGAATCAATATTCATTATCTCTTAAGTCAGAGAAAAGCAACAAACATTTTTAAAAATACAATTTTAAGTTTGATCACGGACTGATATGAGTCAGAGAACCATTGAAAACCAAACAGGGAGTACTGGACAACTGTTTCTGCCTAGTTTGAGACTCATCAGTAGTACGCAAGCACTACCACGGTTCGAACCCAGGACTTTCCAGTCACGAGGCAAACTCGTAGGCTATTCAGCCACTGATCCATGAATTCCAACTAAGTCGTAACCAGTGGGGCCCACCTAGTCTGGAGTAAGGGAAACTTACTCGCCAGCGGTTATATTGCCTGGTCGTCGCGCTAAAATCACCAATTCGTGGAAGTTGGAATTTATTGTTTAGCCATTGAGTCGTGTCCCAATGGTTGAATAATGGTCTACCAGCTTGCCTTGTCAACCGGAAGTTCATGGGTTCGAACTGTAGTGGTGGATGAGTACCACCGACGAGTCCCAGACTAGGACGAAACAGCTTTCCAGTATTCCTTGGTTAGTTTTCAATGGTTCTTCAAATTTGAATACAACAAAGACAACAGTTTCTGCTGAATAAAATGGTACCATCATTGTCTATTTCGTTGGCTTCTCGCCAGTTGCTTACAACCCAAAGACATTATTAAGTATATCTACACAGTCTTAACGTAATAATTGAGCAAAGAGTATCCTTATCGATAAATTCTTCTTCTGGCTCTACAATTATATACATGTTTATATACATAAAATATTCTAGAACAGTAGTCAATAACAATATTAGTGGTTTTTAAATAATATCGATTTGCAAAGTAAGATCAATGCAATTACCACAGTTCATTTAAGATGCCTAAATTATAATAATAAAAATATAATAGCAAATAGAATATCAACTAAAATTAGAGACATTTCTACAAAAATTGAAGATCATTCGAACCTAAATGGTCAAGGTAATGACAGTGTCTGAACTAACTTCTTTTGAACACAGAAATTAGGCTTCTTAACGTGGATCCCAATGGCCACAGAAATATTTTTAGTAAACGAACTCTTAAGGCGACGAAGTTAAGACTTGTTGGTATGAGGTAAATGACTTTGAAAGCATCGTTGACATCAGTATTGTGTTCTCTCTCCACAAGATGGGATAGAATAGCGCTACGAATAGATTTTGTTTGTTCTTTACTTAGCCACCACTCAGTGTGATGTTCAGAAATCCGGCGAGAAACACGCCTGATTGTATGGCCTATGTAACTGGCTCCACAGGAGCAGTTAAACTGGTAGATACCCATGGAAGAGGCGAAATTAGGCAGTTTCTCTTTTACTCCCGAACGCCAAAGAGGAGTGGTTTCGAAGATACAGCGTAATTCAGCAGCAGAGAATGCTCTTTTTACCGCATTCTCAAGACGTTGTGTTAGTATCTCGCTGATGTTATCCCCGAGGAACTTAATTTGTAAGAATGAGGCCGTTTTAGGAAATGTTGGTACCTTAGGGTGTTTTGATTTTGATTCATATTCTTATTGATATGTACCCACATGATGTGTGTTTTGTTTTTGACAGTGTTATATTTTGCTATGTGTATATGGATCGATATTTCATTATAACTGACAATGTGCTTTTGTCTGTCCACTAACTAAATAAACATGCATGACCTTGTTGTCACATGACATTACAACCGATCATGTTAAGACTGTCTATTATTGGTTCATGTGTATTAGTCATTTTCATATATACTTTTGTACTGTATACTTGTTCCCACGTTTCGTACACTACGTACCATTTCATTCACACTCTTGTGTGACATTTATTTTCCTTGTCTGGAAAATACAAGTATCATCGTAAACCTGGTGGTCTTCTGATTTCCCTCTTTCCGCGTCAGGACTATTAACTACTCGACGAGTACATAACATAATTGGCGACGGGGAAAACCCTAATAACCCATTCAGCAGCAGTACATAACACTGATCAATGAACTTTTCTGAATAACCGTTTTCTATTTGTTGTTATAATTTTATTATTATAATTTAAGCATCTTTAGTGAACTGTAATTCCATTGTGATCATACTTTACAAATCGATATTATTTAAAAAAACACCGATATATATGAAGAATAATAATTCACAATAACTGTGTTATACCCACTACGTATTAGCAATTAACGTGTGTGTGTGTGCAGTCACATATACACAGGGAGAAGTAATCGCATTTGGCACGTGAGAGAGTGGGAAGACATACCTAAACAACTGCAAAAACAATTGGAATGTGACACATCTCGATAAAACCACGCGACAGATTATCCAACTTCGTCTATAGTGAAACCCATAATTCATATGAATCACACGTTTGATGTTGGAACAGCTTTCAAGGTTATTCATAAAAACAACCGTCAGGGGGTGTATGCTACTGAAATACTCTGAGGCAATAGAGCTAGCCGTATATATATATATATATATATATATATATATATATATATATATATATATATATATATATATATATATATATATATATATAATATTAAGCGCTTTATCCCGAACAACAACTATCATACACAATGGAAACTTTGACATTTTGTAATCAGATGAAAGAGAGAGGGAAAATATCCAGGCACCAAGGGCAAAGAAATACTGATAACCACTTCTTTCTGAATGCATAAATCGGGTTTCAGGAGCTTGATGAAGATTGCTCCGGTAAACTCAAGGAGAAGTGAACTCTTGCGACGTCCACCTGTTGACCCGTGTCAAAGAAATACCTGGCGATGGCATTGTTTAGAGCATTTGTTCCCTTGAGACATAGGCTTTTTTGCACATGTTCAGAAAATCTGAGGTGTTCATTTCTTTCTGTTCTTCCAGTGTAACTGCTCCTGCAGATATCTGTCGATTTTTGATTACACCAAATAGCAAGTTGTTCGATAGACGAAAGCCAGCCTACCTGAAGGATAGGCTTTGCCTAGTGACGTCCCCTTTAACTGATATCAGTCTGTGATCAAAATTGGAGCAAGTCAAATCCCTACAGACAAACTCTTGAAAACAAGCTGGAGTGTAGAGAGTCTTCAGTGTTTGAGTAGCGTTATTAGAAGAGGCAGATTATCTGAAAAATGGAATATATTTGCTCAATACACTTCGAGCATTCTAGTCACACACTTATTTATCAAATCAATTTATGTGAAAACATGAAATAAACAAACTGATAAGGGATTTTCGATTGTGAAGGACAATAATTACGCTACCCTGGCTAATATAGTCACGAGCGTAGGTTAAGGTAAATAACAGATTGTTTCTCTACACACTTAGTGGTTGGGTGAGGGTGGGAGGCTTAATTCTACGGTTAGCTCTATTGCCTCAGAGTATTTCAGTAGCATACACCCCCTGACGGTTGCTTTTATGAATAACCTTGAAAGCTGTTCCAACATCAAACGTGTGATTCATATGAATTATGGGTTTCACTATAGACGAAGTTGGATAATCTGTCGCGTGGTTTTATCGAGATGTGTCACATTCCAATTGTTTTTGCAGTTGTTTAGGTATGTCTTCCCACTCTCTCACGTGCCAAATGCGATTACTTCTCCCTGTGTATATGTGACTACACACACACACACACGTTAATTGCTAATACGTAGTGGGTATAACACAGTTATTGTGAATTATTACTCTTCATATTTTAAATCCCCTTCCACTTTCTCTATTTTTATTGACCTTTCATGTTTCCATACAGATTGATTTGACTAGTAAATGTGTATGTGTGTGTTATCAGATTGTGTTCAAAAGGCATTGCGCAAATAAGGTGAGCAATATTGAGGTTAGATATCGAGTGCTAGGTAAGGAGGGGATATCAATCGACGAGACTGTGAAGCTACATCGACTGAGATGGTTGGAACATGTGTTATACCTAGTTATCGCCTTCCTCAACTGACGGGCGATGTTAGCTGAAATAGGGTCAGGCTGGAAAAAAGCTAGCGGAGGTCAAACCAAAACATGTCACTAGTCAATGAAATCCAAATCAGTTAGTTTAAGCCTGTCACGTAGGAAGGTGTAGACTTCTTGGTTGGGGTCCTCGGGACGGTAAAAACCAATGGTTGGAAACTATTGGTGATATGGTTCACAGTCGTTCTCAATGGATGGCACAGATGCATCCACTCCTTGTGACTTATGATTTCCAATGAAACTATATTGCTCTTCGTTATTACTCTTCCTTTGTCTCACACCTCTGTTCACTGTCTCTATTATGCATTTCTTCTAGTTTCTTCTGTTGCTTTGTGTGCTACATGAAGGGAGTGTGGCGACTTGAACTTCTGCACATATGTGCAAAGTTCTATGTCGAAAACAGACAGACAGATTGCGCAAATACTTCACATCTGCCAAATAGACTCTTTTCTAATAACACCATCCAATTCTATTATTGTAATATTATTACTGTCCCCTTAGCTTCCTCCTTAGCTGGTCCTATGATTGCACATGATCTCTGATCTCCTCACACGACCTTCTCCATGTCACCCTGGGACGCCCCCTGTTATTGTTTCTCATTCAGGTTCCACTTGAGGGACTGCGATTTTATTTGGCGACCTTATGCGTCTCCATTTTCTTCTTGGGCAATACGTTCTTGGTTGGTTTGTTCCCAGAGTTGCTTGTTGCTAATTCTTTCTGGCCATTTTATCGTCTATAGGGAGCTAGCGAATGCAGTTGTTGATGAAAGTCTGAAGTGGCCTGTTAGTGGCCTGAAATGCTTTTCGTGAAGTGAAGAACTGACTAACTTGACATCTGCGTTGAAAATTCTAATTTTGCTGTTGATGCTGAGCGCAGAAGATATCCAAACTGATTTCAGATTGATGAAGCTGAACCTTGGCTTTCCAATTCTGGCTTTGACATCCTCATCCGTTCCCCCTGTGGTTTAAAACAGCGCTTCCCAGATAAGTGAAGGAAGTGACCTCTTTTAAATATATTCCTTTAATAGTGATTGGCGACTTGAACTTCCGCACATTTGTGCAAAGTTCTATGTCGAAAACAGACAGACAGACAGATAGTGATTGGTGCTTGTTGTAGTCTTCTCTATGTTCACTTGAAGTCATGTCTTAGCTGCTTCTTCTGGCACAATGTTGGTTTTCGTCTGTAGGTTTACGAGTATGCATGACACCAGACATAAGTCATCTACGAAATCTAGATCTTCTAGATTCTTATTTGTCCAGCGCATCCCTGTCTTCTCGCTTTTCACGCACAGTCTTCCGCATAATCCAGTCCACTACAATTAGGAATATCATCGGTGATAATAGGCAGTCTTGTCTTACTCTTGTATTCACTTCAAACACCTTGCTAATTTTTCCATTGTGGACCACCTGACACGTGGCATTTTCATATAACCAGATTTATAAAGGTTTGGGTACTGCACGCCTTAGTGTTGAAGTAGTTCCTAAATTACTTCGTGGTCTGTCGAAGGCCACGTGGTACTTCTAGGCGAGTTGTGGGTTATGGTCGATTTAAAAGTCCTAATAAGTAGTCACCCCATTGTTTTATTTGTCCTTCTTCCTTGGTAATTAGTTTCCATTGACCATCTTTTATAGGTTTCTCCTGGGTTGATTTTGGTATGACGTTCTGAGGTCTGTTTTACCGGCGGTCTGTTCTGCTTCAGTTGCCAGTGTGTCGAAGAATTATCTTTTGTCTTTCCCCTGGCACTCTTCTTCACTTCTTTATTAAGTACCATTCACATTGAACTAGGATTCTACTTGTGTTGTCAACCTTTGCATTGGTTCATTTTCTCTTTCACCATCCTTTTCTCTTTTATTAGCTCCTAAGTATCCGTTGGAAGCCATTCCTGGTCTTGACTCTTCTTTCTTCGTAAAACTGTGGTATATGTTTCCTTGAAAATCACCTTCAGAGAGTTCGAATGCTCTTCCATGGAGGTTTCCTCAGTGTTACCATGTGGTCTTTATTCTCCTACTTTGCTCTGGTCTGATCTGTAGGGAAGGCACCGTTTCCATCGACGTTATGTAATCTTGTGTGGTTTACATAGGTTAGATATATTCATCTGTGTTTTTCATGAAGTTTCCTTGTACTTCAAACTGTATTCTCAATTCTGGATGTTTATAATTGTGTTAATTCTACCAGAATAACTCCAGTTTATATTTCAATATGTGCTTTGATGAGTATTACTAACTCAGTAGTAACATTGACAGATTATCACTGACCATTGTTTGATCGTATTTTTGTTGAAATTGATCTTGATTTGTTCTCACAATGTTCATGTGTTTGGATGCATATCACCTTAAAAAGAAATTGTATAGATAACAACGTTTGTGGAGTATTCAGCTGATGAGTCCTACCGAACTCGTTAAATGGTGTTTTTCCACAGCTTTTACTTACTTACTTTACTTCGGCTATCTCCTACGGGAGGATGAGCCGGCTTCATGAACCATGAAGTTTCATGGGAATTGGATACGAGTGATGTCCCCAGCATCGCTCGGCCTTTTGTTTGAGAGTGCAGCTCTAGCCTTTACACAACCAAGTGTGACCTACGAGGCAGTAGGAGTGGAGTAGGGAGTCCACTATCCATTGGCAGCCGGTGACCGGAGTCAGGTTCATTCGCCTTTTTGAATGGGGCCAGTCATCCAGGGCATCCAATAAGCCCTTTGTCCATACGTCTGCCGGTGAGCTTCATACGCCAGTCGTTGGAGGTTTGGAATCAGGGTTTAGCCATCTCCCCTAGACTGTCATCCAATGGACAGTCAACCCGGTGAAGAGCGCCGGGCATCCGCTTTTGCCCTCTCACTTTGGTGAAAAACACCTCCGCCACGTGAAGGCAGTGAGTAGGACTTCCTCAGGAGAGGCTATGTAAGACGCCCGGTCATATGGGAGCATTTCAAGAGGTGTACGGAGGGGTGGCCAACCCGCAGCGCAAGACACCCACCCCCGACCATCCTGAGGCTTTGGAGGCTTTTTTTTTTTCTTAATGGGAATTGACGCTTTTGCTTGCCATAAATATACTACGGTAAATAAATATTGTCAACTTGTTGTTATCAGATAACTGACCATTTTTCAAGTTCTGTAGTGACGAATGTATACAGAATGATAAGTAGCAAATGATTACATTCTGTTCAACTATCTGCTTCTATGTGCTTCGATGGCTTAGTGGTAAAACCACTGACCAACTACACAAGTGGTCCGGGGTTCGAACCCCGACAGACGCAATCCTAAACCTCGTTTACCCGGTAGTCAACACGGTAATGGGAGAAGGTTGGGCGTGAGGCTAGCAACTGCACCCCGTTTTAAAACACCACTGTTACTGAAACTTTTAAGCACTAGCCACATCAAGCCACATGTTCTATTGGGATTTAAAATGAATATCTGCTTCCAAATGACCAACCCATTTACTAGTTTCGCAGTCCACCTTATATAACTACATTGTCATTTCATTGTTTTATTCCAACTAATATAGATCTTTAATACTTGATGAAGCCGATCGAATGTTGGATATGGGCTTTGAAAAACAAATACGTCAAATACTAGAGTCACCAAAGTATAAAATGCCACCACCATTGGGAAATTGTAGACAAACTGTACTTTTTAGTGCAACATTTCCACGTGAAGTTAGTCTTCTAGCGAAAGATTTTATGCGTGGTCCAAAATGCATTTCACTTACTCTAACGAATCCAGAACATAACACTGGTACTGTAGTTCCTACTTGGGGTAAACGAATTAATCATCATGTAGAAGATGAATTTGATCGTCTTACACGAATAATTCCCAAAGAAATTGATCAGCGTATTGAAGTGGTTAACGGGAATCCAGATACAGTCATACCAGAACGTCTTGTACAACTAATTCAAGAAATAAAAACAACTACTGAGGCAGGTAAGAATGAAGAAACATTTTAGTTTCATTTTTATATATGATGCTGTATTGCGTAATATTAGTGTTCCCTTGGGTTCAAAGTGTAATATGGGTCTTCGGCAGCCCATTTCCATTTCATCCCGTCCTCTATCTGGCTCCACAATTACCCACAGACTTTCATTTACTAATTACATGATCTCCTATATGTCATCCTCGGATGCCCACCTTCAACTTGTCATTTCCACTGGGGTTTCACTCCTGGACCTGGTGCTTAGTCTGTCTCTGTCTGTTTGGATTCAACATAGAACTTGGCACCGAAGTGCAGAAGTTCCAGTTGCCACATTCCAAATAGCACACAGATGTATACAAGAAGATGACTGAAGAGAATCAATACAGTCTGACAAGTATAAGAGTGAAACAGAATAGGTAATGGTAGAAAGAAATATGAAAGATTACAGAGACTGAATACATCTGCGCTGGCCATTGACAACGATTTTGAGCCATGTCACCTATTGTCTCCAGCCATTGATTCCTAGAGTCAGTCCCGAGGGCCCCAACCCGGGAGTCTGTATCTCCCTCCCTACCTGACTCAGTTTAACTGTCAAGGATTTCATGGATTGATGAGGCCATGTTTTTGTTTGGCCACCACTGGCTCTTTTCCAACCTGAACCTATATCAGCTAGTAATGCTCATCGGGGGAGGCGGTGGTTAGGCATGCGCAGCACGTGACCTAGCCATCTCAGTCTATGTAACTTTATAGCCTCGTCGATTGATTTTCCCTCTTTGCCCAACACTCTACGCCTAACGTCAACATTACTTACCTTATTAAACCACCTAACGTGAGACAGAGATCACAGACATCTATGATGGAAAGCAGTCAACCTTTTCATGTCTTCAACGCGTATTGGCCGTGTTTCAGAGCCATAGAGAAGGACGGAGCGAACTGCTGAGCAGTACACACGTCCCTTGGTTGATAGCCAGCCGGATGTCACGCCTACGCCAGAGATGGTGTAAGTCAGCGAAAGCAGCTCGAGCTTTTCGGATCCGTGCTGAGATTTCATCGCCAATCAGTCCGTTGGTGCTAATACAACTTCCCAAATAGGTGAAGTGGTCAACATGTTCTATCAGTTCACTCCCTAACACTAAGCTTGGCAGGAGTTGATGTAGTCCAGTCCTGTAGCAGCATATTACATTTTGTAGGGGCGAATCGCATGCCAAACATACGAAGATTGCTGCTCAAGGTGTTCAGAAAACTCTGCATTTTGTCAGCATCCTCCCCTAACAAGACTATGTCATCTGCATATTCTAAGTCCATAACAAGTCGATTCCTAAGTCATTACGTTCAGTTAAGGATACTTCCATCATCATATATATGATGAAGTTAAACAGAAATGGGGAAAGTGGACACTCAATGATCTCAGTATTCCCCCCTATCATTTTCTATTTCCTTTGGCGTATTTATTAGGTAATAGGTTCTCAGTTTGTTTGTTAGTTGCCTTTCACAGTCTCTTGTTGCTAATCTTTTCTGGTCATCTGGTCTTCAGTGTAGTGTAAAGACAGCACTGCACTGGCCTGCTCGAAATGATCTTCGTTATTCGTGCATCAAGTTCCTGAACCATGTAAAAGCACTGATTTGACATTAGTGTTGAGAATCTAAATCTTGTTCCTTAGACTGAGTGCGACAGTTTTACACTCTGATTTCAGAATAATGGGATCTATCTTGCTTTTCCGACCCAGCTCTTAATTGGTGGATGGCGACTAGCAGTGTAATCCAGGTTGCGCATTTCATCTTATTTGGGACTCGTCAGTTGGATGTATCTAGTCAGACAGACAGACAGTTTGATGTACCTGCATTCTCCAGTGAGTGATGATGCTCCCACCGAGGCTCGAACCCAGTGCCCATAGTGTCAAACACCAAAACGTTATCCACTAGACCACTTGGGCCACGAGAGCCAATCACCTCTAGTGCAATGGGTCAGATTAATTATTTAATTCAATTTTAGATTTCCCCATCGGTTGATTGGATCGAAGTGCTCGGTCTAAGGTTGACATGTTGGCTTCTTGTGCAGGTATTCATAGTTAGTGAAGCAGACCTGTAGAAAAATGCTTAACATTCTTTGAGTTAATAAAATACAAAGTTAAGGATAATGGTGGGTGGTAGAAGTAACATATGTGACATGAGAAGAAAACGGTAAAGCGACAATTAAACTTAACCTGGAAAGAACGGAAACAACCCACTATGGACTACAGGACTTTGTAGGATATAAGCAATTGAGAGTAATTGGTATGACAGAGTGTTGTTATTGTGGTTGTAGTTATCGTCTAAGTTGACTAGAATGCGCTTCCACACACGACACTATTATAACCAGCTGACCATTTGAAAATGTCCCTCACACTCTGAGATTGACACAAAAGCCAGATTGAGCTGAGACAGCAACTGGGTTCGAATCCTGGTAGGTGCGTCTGTCTGTCTGTTTTCGACATAGAACTTTGCACATACATGAGGCAGTTTAATTCGCCACATTCCATCTATGTAGCACACAAAGCAACAGAAGAAAGTACAAGGAATGCATAATAGAGACAGCAAACAGAGGTGTGAGACAAGGGAATAGTAATAACGAAGAACAACATAGTTTCATTGGAAATCATAAGTCACAGGGAGTGGATGCATCTGCGATAGCCATTGAGAACGATTTTGAGCCATATCACCAATAGTCTCCAGCCATTGGTTTTTACCGTCCCGAGGACCCCAACCAATCAGTAAGTCTACACCTTCCCGGTGGCTGCGTACTGATGAATAGTCCGAAACTAGGATAAAACAGCTGTCCAGTACTCCCAGGTTTCCCAATGGTTCTCTAACTAATGTCAGCTCATGATGAAATCCTGTAACCAATCAAATCCCTACAAACTAACACTTGAATAACCTTTATTATTGAAAATGCGTGGTATATACAATTGGAAAAACCTCAGGAAAGTGAAACCATAAATAATCGAATCAAAAATAAACTGTCCAATCAGGTTATCACGCGGTAAGTCATACATAAATCATAACTTCGTGGCTAACAAAGAAGCTACATTCCTACAGGAGTTCAGTCGCGAGTCCGAATAGGTCAGTGGTAATGTCTCTGACTGTGGCACTGGGTAATGCAGGTTCCAATCTCAAAAGGGATATGAGTTCCTTCAAGGTCGCAGATGCGCCTTACAGACTGATGAATGCCTACTAGCACGAAACCTAGGTCCAAGGCTTCTTGCCTCTGTCTCCAACTATCGAATATCAAAGAAGCTTGTCCGTTATGATACCTTCCCTTTTCGGGTTCACCTGAAGATACATTGTGGGTCTGGCAACTCTCCGTCTGTGATAGTAATAGTCAAGAAAACATAAACATATCACTATGGACAATACTTCTTTTTTTCACTTCTTTCGTTTCCAGGGGGGCATAGGGCTTCAAGCTCCAACTTCGAAGTTTCAGTAGGAGTGGGGTGTGATGTTGTTTTTCCATGGGTGGGTGGGATTCCTGGCCTCACTTCTAACCCGCTTCCTGTTTTCTGGGCTGACTGTCTGCCAGGAGAGGTTAAGGACTCTGCTTTTTTTATCTCTCTTTCTCTGCCTTTTGTCTGCTATATGGCATGTGGTAACTTGAACTGCTGCGCTTTGCTGCAAAGATCTGTGTTGAAACTTAGTCAGTGTGCTGTTGACCAAGAAGTGGACCGGCACCATGTGTGTTGTTGACGGACATTATACCAACGCAAAGACAACATACTAATTGTTCATAACTATTAGGAAAAATTTCAAATAAGCATAGAAATGTAGGAGAATCTTGGTGAATGTTTTGGATATATATTTAAGATCAAGTGTAACTATGTTGATTGACACGATGGATAGTTTTTCATGTGGTGTTATTATTTAGCAATATACTGTTGTATTGGTTACAAGTTGTATACCATGTGTTTTACTCGTAAGTTGTGCTACACAGTGTGATTTATAAACACTTGAGAAAAAAAATAATGAAATTCATTGTTATCTAGCATACTTGTTTGATATTTATTGAAAAGGGAATGACATCATCTTACATCGTTTCAATATCCTCTTCATTAGATTCTACAGTTACACGTGGATATGATAATCATTAAAAGGAATTACCGTTATAAACGACATTAAATGTTTTAACTGAAAGACTCAGTATCTAGGTTAGCCACCTCTTCTTGTATCTACTAATTCAGCTGTTCCTGTGAAGCTGGTTATACTGACTGTGCAAAGTACTGTTACAAGATTGCCAGGACCCTGTATCTGCATTCACTCTTGCGGGTGAACCGCTTGAAGTTGTTGATAAGTTTGTGTATCTGGATAGTTGTTTGAGTGCTGGCGGAGGGGTGACAGATAAGATTTCCAACCGTATAATGAAGGCTAGGGTGGCATACATCAACTTGAGCCACCTCTGGCGCCGTCGCGATGTTAGCCTGGCTGTCGAAGGTCAGGTATAGAATGCTTCGGTGCGGGCTGCCCTGCTCTACGCCTGTGAAACCTGGCCTCTTCGAGTAGGCTGGGGATGTTCGGCGACTCTGCATGTTCGATCATCGCTGTCTCCGCAGGATTGCTTGTGTTCGATGGCATCATCGCGTGAGTAATTCTGAGGTTCGGCGGCGTGTGTTTGAACACAGTGGTAATCACCATTCATTGAGTGTCGTCATCTGGAAACACCGGCTCCAGTGGCTTGGACATGTGCTTCGAATGTCATCCCAGAGGCTTCCGTATAGGTCTCTGTTCGCTAACCCTGGGACGGGATGGAAAAGGCGGAGAGGTGGTCAGTCCATGACTTGGCGTCGTGGGATGAATGATTTTTGTGCTAGATTAGCATCGGTTGGTGTGTCACGACTCCCTGGTTGGGGTCTGAGAGATGGCTCAAATCGATGGCTCGGAACGTTATTGGATATGGCCATGAATCGTAATCAATGGCGAACGTGTTGCAGTTTCCTTCTTTCTTCGCTTCCTGATGATAGTTAACGAATACTGTTTGAAATCGTTAAGCATGACTGTTTTCCTTCCAGATGAAGCTCTTTATCCGTTGTCTACTTATATTTTTACTTTTAATCTATGTTATTTTATTATTATTGTATGGCGCATCTTTATTGGTGCCATATTGTACCAAGTTTTTTCTGCGTTTAAATAAATTAATAAATAAAACTGTTACTCTAAGAACTTAGTTTCTCGTACTTGGGAACACGTACTAGTGTAGCTGAGTGAATGTGTTGTTAGAACACCATCAACGGTTCGGCATTAGAACACCTCGTCCAAACAGGATACAAAGCTAGCAATGAAGGGTCTTTCTCTATCGTCTGTTGAATAAATTACCAAGCGCATCTAGACACCACCGAACACTCACTGCAATTCACTTAAATCATCTGTAGCGGTGTGTGCAAAAAATGAGTCCAGTCATTATTACTATCCTGGCCTGCTGTTGGACGTATACATTCCGTGTTAACTCTTCATTTATCTGATGCTCAGTTAATTGTTATACTGGTGGTACATATTATCACTCATGGATGCTTTTAAACTGTAATCTATTGGCATTCTTAAACACTCTGGGATTATTCCAAGTACTTTTTATATTGAATCAATCTAATTTGGCCCTCAAATTATTCCACAAAATTAGTGACGTCTATGCTCTTGGCATTTAACATTCTTGGTTCGATATTATGTAAAATACGTTAATATTGTCTATATCAATTAATCTCTAACTATAATGACTGAATAACTGTAGATATCTGATGGAGTCGCCGAAAAGAATACTCTGTGTTCACTAATCAGTCAGGTGAGCACCTACGGAGAGTTGTCATCTGAGGTGATGAAAACCCGTGGTGTCCATGAGGAATGTACACCGTTCCCACTTCTTTTTAATTCCATCATATGTGTACTAATGAACTTAACCCTAATTGACTGGTTACAAGGGAATAATCTCGTTGGCTTGGAATATGCAGATGATATAGTCCTGTCTCCCAGGTGAAGACGCTGATAAAATGCAGAGTCTTCTGAATGCCTTGAGTTGCAATCTGCGGATGTTTGGCATACGATTCGTTTCCTTTGTCAAATTTACGATGATGCTACAGGACTGAACTACACTGACTGCTAACTTAAAGATAAGGGGTGAAGTGTAGAGCTTGTTGACCACTTCAATTATTCGGCAAGTTGCATCAGTCAACGCCAGCGAGTTGATCTCTGACGTAATCTCAGCACGAATACGGAAGGCTCGTTTCACATTTGCCAATTTACGCCATCTCTGGCATAGATGTGATATCTGGCTGTCGACCTATGGGCTTGTGTACTGCCCAGTGGTTGACTGTGGACCGCCTTTATGGTTATGAGGCATGGCTATTGAAAGTGGAAGACACATGAATAATAGGCTGGCTAGCTGTTTTTGATCATACGCGCCTGCGTTATATCCGTCGTGTTAGGTGGTATAATAAAGTGAGCAATATTGAGGTTAGGCATCGGTTGAGTGCTAGGCAAGGAGGGTGGGGCAATCAGTTGACGAGATTGTGAAGCAGTTACACCGATTGAGATGGTTAGTGCATGTGTTACGCATGCCTAATCACTCGAACGCGGTCTTGTGTTCGTTCCACGGCCGACAAACTTCTAAACCTCACCTAACCAGTAGTAAATTTGGTAAAGACGGAAGGTATGCTTGCAGAGCTAGCAGTCGCATTCCTTAAAAACATAAAAATCATTGCCACTGGAACTTTAAATCTCGAACCCTGAAGGTATATGTTCCACTCGGAGCACACGAATTAAAAATGAAGATATTTGAAATTGAGGGAACAAGTATGTCATCGTAGATATAACAAAGGTTACGAAAATGCTGATGGAAATATATATCTCCTAACTCTCTCTCTCTCTCTCTCTCTGGGAAGCATCGTTTCAACGGCAGGCGGAACTCACGTGGATATCAAAGCAAGGATCGGAAAAGTAAGGCAAGCTCTCATCAATCTCAACTCTCTGTGGAGATCAACAACACTCGGCATGAAAAATAAGATCCGAATTTTCAACTCCAATGTGGAGTCAGTGCCACTTTATGGATCAAAGACTTAGCGCGTCATCAAAAGCACCCCAAGCAAACTACAGACCTTCCTCAGCAGCTGTTTTCACTAAATACTTCGCTCATGATCAGATGGCTGGCCAGAAAAGATCAGCGACAAGGATCTCTGGGAGTGATCCAACCCAGCAGGAACTGATTGTGCAACAAATAGGCAGGAAGAAATGGAGGTGGATTGGCCATACTCTGAGGAAACCATCAAGTGACATCACTAGACAGGCCTTCGAGTGGAGCCCGGATGGGAAGCGACGAGTTGGTCGTCAGTGCAAGGGTGACTTGAAGGATGTTATGTGAAGATCAGATGAAAGCATGTGGGCAGACGTGGAATCAGGTGAAAACGTTGGGTGAGAACCGAACACAATGGGGACGTGCGACTGAAGTCCTACGTTCCTCTAAGAACTAAAGGAAACAATAATAATAATAATAACTCTCTCAATAAATCTTAAGTAGTGTATTACTTCCACGTGATTTATTTCTCCATGTCGATGTGATGAATGTTATTGCTTATATTTTTCCATAATATGTGTCTTTATTTTCTATATAGCTTTGAATTCATCAGATGACAGTACTTGTCGAATTCTTGTATTTTGTAATACTAAAAGAGAAGTTGATGCTATTGATAAATATCTATACTCCAGCGGTGTACAATCAGCTGCAATTCATGGTGATAAATCTCAAGTTGCTCGTGGTAAAGCCTTAGATTTATTCCGTAAAGGAAGAGTTCATGTTCTCGTCGCTTCATCTGTGAGTTGAACTTTCTTTTCTTTCTTTCTTGCATCAGTTGTAACAAGTATCTATCTTTTTTATACACATCTTTAATCGCTCGCTATGTCGGTTAGACTATGGTTAAAAAAAACAGCTTAGCATTTTATTGTTTATTGGTGATACTGTCACATTTGCATACGCTTAAAAAACTTATGCTTGAGCCAGCTGCTCTGGCTATTAGTTATTTACACGTAAAGTTCCATAGACTGACTGACTGAGTGCCAGCGTAGAACTTTGAAGAGAAATGCAGCGGTTAAAGTGAGTCAACCCCTTTTATCCCACAGAGGTAGACAAAAGCGAGGAAAAAATATTCAGAACTATAATGCGCAGAAATGTGCGGGATGATATGGAATCACGAGAGCGAATTGCATGCCAAATATTCGTAGTTCTCAACAGTTCTCTCCGTCCTCCTTTATGGCTGCGAGACATGGCCATTAAAAGTTGAAGACATGAAAAGACTAGCTGTCTTTGATCATAGGGGCCTGCGTTTTACCTCCTGTGTGAAGTGGTATTATAGGGTGAGCAATAACGAGGTTAGGTGTCGAGTATTAGGTAAGGAGGGAAGGGAAATCAATTGACGTGATTGTGAAGCAGTTACACCGATTGAGATGGTTAAGACATGTGTTGCCTGTACCTGCCTCGCTACCGCCTTTATCGATAGGCGAAGTTAGCTGACATAGGATGGATCAGGTTGGAAAAGAGCTAGTGGTGATCCATCCAAATCCTGGCACCAGTCAATGAAATCCACAACAGTTAGTTTAAGATGGCCACGTAGGGAGGTGTAGACTTCCTGGCTGATTGGGGTCCTTGGGGATGGTAAGAAGCGATAGCACCTGGAGACATTCGGTGATATGGCTCAAAATCGTTCTCAATGGCTATCGCAGATGCATCCATTCCCTGTGACTTATGATTTCCAATGGAACTGTGTTGTTCTTCGTTATTACTATTCCCTTGTCTTACACCTCTGTTTACTGTCTCTATTATGCATTTCTTCTAGTTTCTTCTCTTGGTTTGTGTGCTACAAGGAGGGAGTGTGGTGACTTGAACTTCTGCACATCGGTGCAAAGTTCTATGTTGAAAACATGCGCATGGAATCACATCAGGGAATGCATCTACTCCATTGCTAACGGTTTTGAGCCGTATCAATCACCAATAGTCCCCAGTCATTAATTCGTGCCAACCAGACGACCCTAACTAGACAGCCTTCACCTCTCAACTTAGCTGGTTCAAATCACCTGTCAAAGACTTCATGGATTGATGGCATTTTGGTTTGACCATCCCTAACTCTCCTCCAAGCTGATCTAATGTCACATTACACTCCTCAACAGGGAAGGCGGTGGTTTAGTACATCGTAACACGTGTCCTAGCCATCTCAGTAGATAAAGCTTCACAACCTCATCGATTGACCCCCCCCCTCCTTACTTTTAACACTATGCCTAACCTCTATATTGCTCACCATATTATACTACCTAACATGAGAGATAGAATGCAAATATATATGATCAAAAGATTTAGATATGATAGAGATTTGTAGCTCAGGTGGATGGTTTTGATGTGGTTGTGTTCCCTGAGCTGGATAGTTGATTTGCGAAGCTTTGAAGTATGCGCTGAAGATGTCATCTAGTAGGGTGATGAAAGCTTCGCAAATCAACTATCCAGCTCAGAGAACACAACCACATCAAAATATATGATCAAGGATAGCTAGTCTTTTCATATCTTTCAACTGCAATGACGATGTCTTGCACCCATAAAGAAAGACAGAGTGAACCACTTTTGTAGTACACGTCTTTTGATCGACAACCGGCAGGATATCATGTCTACACCAGAGATGTTGTTGTCAAGTCCCACCGGAGCCTTTTGAATCCGTGATAAGATTTCGTCGGTAATCAATCTCATACAACTCCCCAAATAAGTGAAATTGATCATCAACACGCTCAACCACCACTTTACACCCTGTCTTCAAACTGGAAGTCGGTATAGTTCAGTTCTTCATTCAAACATTCAAAGATTTCTGCTCACTGTGTTCAGAAAACTCTGTATTTTTTTCCAGAGTCTTCACCTACAAGGACAATGTCGTCCGTGTACTCTAAGTTCATAAGGCTGTTCCCTGGTAACAAGTCAATCCCTGAGTCGCTGAATTCAGTTATTCTTCTTATAGATATGAATTTCATATTCATAGAATCTTTACTACTAATGTTTCAATGAAGAAAAACTACACTCCTACCTCTGGAATCTACATGAACTTGCAAAATGGCACTACTACTTTAAACTGCTTTCCAGTTAGAGTACAAATCGACATTTTTTTCAGAATCTAAGGTGTTCAATCTTTAGCATGTCACAAATGTACAGTGATGCTAGTCATCTAAGATATTCAATCCTATAACTATCAGTTTCTTAAACCATAAACAGTCAACACTGACTATGCAGATGTTGGTGTATGAACCTAATTTCTCTGGCGCATTATGACGTCTGTTATTTGACTTGTTCTCCCCACTTACGTACTCACGTGTTTATCTTCTTCTTCTAAATAGGTTGCTGCTCGAGGTATTGACATTCCCAACGTTCGTACAGTCATAAACATCGGCTTACCAAGAGAAATCGATGATTATGTTCATCGAATTGGGCGAACAGGTCGTATGGGTAGAACTGGTGAAGCTGTTACACTTATCAATGAGTCTGTATTGAGAAGTGATGAAGGCACTAAAACATTGTCACGTGGAATTTGTCAACTCTTCCAATCAATTGGTATTTCAAAAAAAGTTCCTCAAATTTTATTGGAATATGCTAATATGGATATTGGTGAAAATGAAGGATACTCTCGTTTTAATAATAACCATAATAGTAATAAGAAGAAAGGCTATTCAAATTCCAAATCGCATTCATCATTCTCGAAGGGTTACAAAACTGGACGCTCCACTGATGATGTGATGAGAAGGTATTCATAAACGAGGATCATTATTGGCTGTGTTATTTTAGTCATTATCAGTCACTATGTAATATAAATAAATTTCCATTTCATCATCAATTGGTGTTTTGTGGTTGACATGTACGGTAACGTTCATAACTAGTGTGTTTGGTTCGAGGGTATTTAGTGTACAGTGAGCTGGTCACATCAGAGATCTTCGCCACAGTCGCATATGACACTTTAAGAAGCTTACAAGAGCAAACGCCGTGTGCATTTCTCTTAACTAACCAACCCTCAGAATATTTGCCATCATATTACTCTTATTATTATTCCCATGGGTTCCGAGTGGAACATGGGGCTTCAACAACACGTGTACAATTTGGTTCTATTTTCTGCTATCCTCTTCATCTGGGTTCACAATTCCCCTTAATTTCTTATCTCTTCCAACTCGCACAATCTCCTGCATGTCACTCGCACCCGACGACCCACTTGTCGCTTCCCGTTCGGATTCCACTCGAGCGATGGCCTGCATTGAGCGGCATGTCATTCGATGGCCTCCTCAACGTATGTCTCAACGACCCATAGGCATTTTCTCCTACATATTTGTTGAGCAATCGGTTCCTGCTTGTTGGTTTGTTCTCAGCGAGACAGAGTTCCTTGCTGGTAATTCTTTCTGTTCGGCCGGCCGGCCTTTTGATCTTCAATATGCAGTCAGCTATAGATAGAAGTCTGTAACTTGTTGGAAATCCTTTTCGTGACATGCACATCAAGTTTCTGACTCATACAGAAGAACTGACTAACTTAACATTTGCGTTGAAAAGCCGAATCTTGTTGTTTATGTTACTGAATGCAGTAGATTTACAAACCGATTTTAGGTTGATGAATGTGTACCTTGCCTTTCCAATTCTGGCTGGTGTTGACATCATCCTTTCCACCAGTGGTTGAAACCGTGCTTCCTTGATAAGTGAAGTAACCTCTCTGTTGAAGACATGAAAAGGTTGACTGCTTTCGATCATAGATTTCTGTGATCTCTGTCTCACGTTAGGTGGTTTAATAAGGTAAGTAAGTAATGTTGACGTTAGGCGTAGAGTGTTGGGCAAAGAGGGAAAATCAATCGACGAGGCTATAAAGTTACATAGACTGAGATGGCTAGGTCACGTGCTGCGCATGCCTAGCCATCGCCTCCCCCGACGGGTATTGCTAGCTGACATAGGTGCAGGTTGGAAAAGAGCCAGTGGTGGCCAAACAAAAACATGGCCTCATCAATCCATGAAATCCTTGACAGTTAAACTGAGTCAGGTAGGGAGGGAGATGCAGACTTCCGGGTTGGGGCCCTCGGGACTGACTCTAGGAATCAATGGCTGGAGACAATAGGTGACATGGCTCAAAATCGTTGTCAATGGCTAGCGCAGATGTATTCAGTCTCTGTAATCTTTCATATTCCTTTCTACCACTACCCAATCTGTTTCACTCTTATACTTGTCAGACTCTATTGATTCTCTCCACTCATCTTTTTGTCTACCTTTGTGTGCTATTTGGAACGTGGCAACTGGGACTTCTGCACTTCGGTGGCAAGTTGTATGTTGCATCCAGCTAGCCAGAATTAACCTCCGTTAAACCTCTCTCAGTGATGGTGATTGGTTGGTTATTTTTATCACCTCCTTCTGTGTTCACCTGGAGTGAACCAATAAACAAACCACTTTATTGATTGGACTGAAAGTATTAGTCAGAGGTAACAACTAAAGACATATGTGACTGACTGAAGTTCAACATAAAACTTTGCACAAAAGTACCAGCAGTAAAAGTTGCCAGAGTCCATTTGCCACACAAAAGTAGAGGAAAAAGAAAAGAGATTTAATAGATCCATAAAAGGAGGAAGTGCGTGAGATGAGTAATAAAATCGAAAAACATGAAAGTTTAGTTGGATTTAGGAGACCGCATAGGGTGAATGCATCTGTATCATTGAGAAAGACTTTGAGTGATATCATCAGTAGTGTCTAGCTATTGGTTCTTGGCGTCTCCAGGACTCCAACCAGGTTGTTATACTCCTCATGCGGCTGATGCAAATCAACTGTCACAGACTTTAAGGATTGTTTCAAAGCTTTGGTTTGCCCACCCTTATCTTTCCCAACCCAGCTAACATTGTTCGTCGAGGTGGGCGATGGCTCGGAATGCGCAACAAGTGGTCTAGCCATCTCAATCGATGTAGCTTCACAACTCCCTACCTACCGAGCACTCTACGTCCAACTTGGGTAAGGAAGTGTATCATTTACGAATGCTCCTTGTGAACACATGTTTATGTGAAAGTGTGGTGAGAGCTGTCTGCTAGCCAAAATTGGTAGGGAGCAATTTACGTCAATGTTTACATCCCCAATCTTGGTCATGAGATAAAGACCAACTCAACAACCAATCACGGCAGACTTAGTGTGGGCGGGTATGATTAGCAGAAATGTCAACGGACTGTCTAGGAGACGGCAACGAGCTGATGACAGAATAATGTTCAACAGGAAAACAACCAATCAGAAGACGTTGCCTCTCTACTAACAATAACGAATAATAATGTACATAAAAATCTGTTGATTTTCTCAACAAACGGTCTGTTGCCTGTCGTCACAAAAGTGCACTGAAGATGACACAGGAGGAGGATAATTCCATTATTTAGAAAAAATTACACAGTGCCTCGTCAGATAAGTATTAGGAATTTATTATTACGCAATGATTCCAAGTATACTAGACTACTAGAAATGGCATGTATTGTATGAAAATAGCATCCGACATGTTTGGATACCTCAAAGGGGTTATTATGGAGTTTGAAACTGATCGACAATAGCATGTAGTGTTAAGGGGCATAGTACACATTATTAGGTAAAACCGCTTATAGTGTCGACAAGGGTCAAGTGTCTCTCACTTATGTATTGAGACTTAGGCATTATTGCTAATCAGACATCGTGCACTTTAGGGTAGAAATCGACACTGATTTGTCAGCCGCGCTTAGATAATGAAAGGAGACTGTGAATGAACACGTGTGATATTCGTGAAAACAAAGTAGCTAGGAAATATTTGATTCCATGCTTTCTTGCATCTAACAAATACTCCACGAAATAAAAAAGCTTAGTGATAGTTTTAATGTAAGAGTAGGATTCAGACATTGTGATAGAAAACAATTCCATATTATACAAGTTTATAATACAATATTAGTGATTTGAAGTTCATTGTGTCAGCACCGAATATATATGCAATACCTGTCCTGGATGTTGGACATTAAAAAGAGAAGTAATTTTTGTCTTTACTTGTATTTCAAGTATTAAAGCTTCAAAGTTCCAAGGGATTATGGTATGGATTGCATGATGGTAGTGTAGCTATTCTCACGTCCAACATTCTGTTTTTTATCTTGGTTTGCTATCGACTAGTAGTTAACTAAGCGAAGTTTCAGAGTGTGTCTGCCGGGAATTGAACTCGGACCTCTAGCAATGCGGTAAGCATTCTCTCACTAAGGCAGTGACGCACGCATTAAATACGAGAGCAATTAAACACTATATGAAACAAGTCATGTGAAGAGTACATTGATATGATTATGAGTTTCACTCAGAAAGTGATCCAGTTATTAACACCGTGCTATTTCAAATAAACTTACATAATTGGAATTGTTGCTACATTATTCAACTGTCAATATGTCATTCATTGTAATCGGAATAGATGTTCACGGTATGAGATGACCGTAGTCCAATTTTTTATAATGGTGTAAATCTGAACCACCGACTCCATATTATCAGTCAGTCATTGTGCAATTAACCAGAACAGATTTTTCATGTAACAAGCTAACAGCCACACTTATCGTGTGGGGCTATGAATCAGTACCCGGTCGGACTAGGTGGAGGGGGACTCTAACCCGTGAACTATCGGCCGACAGTTTAGTGCTCAAGCCAATGAGCCAGATCAGCAAATCACCACCTATTAGTGTAGACTTGTTATACATTTGATTAGTTTGTAGCGTGAAAATTTTCACAGTAGTATGGGTTGACATTCCTTAATACTCCAGGGTACGATGTTACGGGGTGTATTAGATATGCATCTCTATCCAGAGCTCTGTTGCTTATATTCACTTCGTCAAATCTTGTCCGCATAAGCAAAACTGATGCCAAGACAGGAATAGTGTTGCACGCAAACATGGTTTTGTCCAGCAACACACAACGGCCATCCGCGATAAGTCGCCGTTCCCAATCAGAATCTGCTTGCCAAAGATTCGTCAGTCTTCGGACTCAACGTCCCCTAGATGGCGCTACACCTGTTTTCCAGTCAAAGAGATCTGAGCCAGGTGTTTTATTGCCACACCCTGACACCAAGTTCTCCCATCTCATACAACAAGTAGTTCTCAAGCGTGCCACAACCAACGTTTTGATGGGAATGAGGTCCCACAGACGCTCCAGACCTTCCAGTAAACAAAACACCACTCCCTCGACATCGGTCAGTCAACCAGGTGCAGAAAATAGACGGCGCAGTGTCAGACTAACCCTATGTAATATTTTTTTTATCCTAAAGGGGGAGGTGATATAGTGATCACTGTCCAGTCTGGAAATAAACCAATCATAACTTGACCCATGGAAAATAACGCCGAACACTTTATTGGTTATGATTACAGACTAACTGACATATCCTAGGTGATATTTTGAACCAGTCATTATTGTGGCTCATATCATTTAAAGTAGTGCGCCGTTATATAATGCTGTTGTTGGCGTAGTTAAAGCGATAGTCGTGTTCAACATGTTTGTGTCCAATTCAGCGTTTCTATTTCAGTCTCAGTTGGAGATGATCTACCCTAAAAAGCCAAAAACATGCACTAATCAAATAATGAATATAAGTGAAAAAGTAAAGCGCAATAATAACAATAATAATAATAAGCACCGTAATTCAATACTTTTGTTCATATAATGTCTGTAATACGTAATACAACGAAAAGTCATTTTTACAAGGTATGCGTATATATATATATATATATATATATATATATATATCACAAATACTCTTTTTCAGTGTGCGTAACACCAAGCGTATGTACATACACATACTACCAAATCACCATAGTCACGAAAATAGCAAAACTACAAATAAACAATGTAGACGATTTACAAATCATCCGTCAGAATAGAGACATAATAACAGAGAGAAAAAAATAGATTCTGATGTGCTGAAAGATTCGAAGAGTAGGCGAACCAACATTATTGGATACAATATACAATCGAATAGTTTAACCTTTGACACGTTTGTTCAATAACCGTAACAGACTACTTATATATATACATACATATATATGCATATATAAGTAGTCTTTAGGCTAATTTTCATAATAAACTTCTTAAGAATTAGGAGAAAAAAATTATTCATCACTCAAATAGGTACAAATTAATAGGGATATATAAAGTTTGTCACAACGATAACTGCAACAACAACAACAAAAGTAGAAGAAGAAAAAGGAGGAGGAGGAGCATGTTGTTCATTAAACCGGTGGTTCAAGAAAACGCATAACAAGTTGTACAAGAAAAGCGAATATACTGAATACAACAATGACAAATACTTTTGAAATATACCATTCATTTCTATTCTCAGCATTATTATTTGTGTTCCCATCTGCTGGTGACGGTGTCGTTGTCGCTGTCTGTGATCGACCACGATTCAGTGAATTTTGTGCTTCAATTTTAAGCTTTTCCAATCTTAGATTTTCACGTATTTCCTGGAAGAAAGAAAGGCAAAGCTATAACAACAACAACAACATGACGATTAAGGCGCTTACTCAAAACACTTTCGATGGTTACACATGCAACATTTTTCTCCGTGTGGGTTTTCACTGTATCATTGCATCATCGGGACAATAAAAAAGCACTTTCCTAGAGAGGATAAAATCTGTGTGCTGAAGCGCTAATGTAGATATTCTATACATGTTTGGATAAGTTGACCAGGCTACTACAGATAGTAAACGTAATGTCTGCCAACCTGATCATCATTTCTATTCAACTTCATATTTCAGATCAGTATGTGAGCCACGTGAAACACTAAACATAACACTTCATTATGCTATGCTGTTACACAGAAAGCAACAAAATATTAATATACACGATTTGTGAAGATAAAGAACAAACAAGTAGTTCTTGCTTTCCTTCAAATCACTGAAAATACTCATTGAGTCGTGAAGAAAATAAAAAGACAAATTCAGTGGAAAAAGTCTTCTTTATCGACGAAATCATCTTCCTTCAGAGGCTCTACAAAGTTGTATTTATACTTACCAAAAATGTATAGTATAGTCCATTATTGAGTAAAAGGGGTGTGACATAAGTGATATAACTACTCAGAAGTGGCTTCGAAAGTAAAAATAAAAGTTGTAAATTACGTAGTAATCAACAGCACAAAGGAAGAAAGGGTTAGAAATTTGATAAGGTTAAAATTGTTACTTTTTTCTCTTTACTTTTCAGAACAGTTACTACTGCCTTAGGTTCCGACTGCAAATCTCCAATTCATCAATATGGCCTTAGAAACAGTTAAAAAAGTACTAAATGCGGATCCTGAACTCAATCATAGGACAAAGCTGCCCATTGAACAAATTATTTTAGGGATTCAGTTATGCCTCACATCTACTATCTTTAAACTCCAAGGTAAAATATATAGACAAACAGGAGGTGTAGCAATGGGATCGCCAATATCCCCTATCGTAGCACACACATTTATGGACAGCTGGGAAAATAGTGCCCTCAATACATTTAACCCTACTCCAAAAATATGGTGGAGATATGTGGATTACACTTTCACAGTGTTAAAAACAGAACATATTTCTAGCTTCTTGACACGCATAAACTCACAAGTAGAGGGAATAAAATTTACATTTGAATCGGAAAATGAACAAGGAGAATTAGCTATGTTAGATTGTAAGATAAAACGAATAGAAGGCAAACTACACACTAGTGCTTATAGAAAACCAACGCATTCTAATAGATATTTAGACTTTAATTCATTTCATCCGTTAAGTGTTAAGGCAGGCTTAGTTAAGTGTCTAACAAACCGAGCAGTAGCACTAAGTAGCGCAAGAAAAGACATAAATGACGAAATAAAACAGATAGAAGAAGCGTTGGTGTTGAATAACTATCCTTTAAAATTCATTAGGAAGATCGGAAAAGGCCAAACGAAAAATAAAAATAATTGTGAAACTAGTAATAATAACATAAATAAGAGAGAATATAAGTCATCTACAGTTATACCATATAAAGAGGGGATATCTGAGACCCTACGTAGGATTCTAAATAAAGCAGGAATTAGGGTGGCATTTAAACCTACAAACTCACTCGGGTAGGATAAGCTCTGTGGGTTAAAGGACCCAGTTGATCCAATTAGACAAAATAATATAATTTACAAAATACCCTGCAATAACTGTGAGTCAGTTCAACTACATAGGTCAAACTAGTAGGTCAGGGTTAGTCAGATTATCAGAACATAAGAATTTAGCTAAGGTAAGAATGGTTGACCCATGAAGCTAAGTAATTTAGAAAAAAGCTCAGCTATTGCACTTCACGCATTAACAAACAACCACACAATAGGGTGGGTGGGAGAGGGTTAAAATTCTAAAAAGTATTCTAGGTAGGTGGAGAGAGAGGTTGGTTACTGAATCCTGCCTGGTTCATCGAGTCTACACCCAACACTTGCAACAGAAATGACTCAATGCAAATGCCAGAAATATGGGAGATATTATTACCTCAAGTCAAATCAGAAGAGGATAATAAATAATCTTAAAATTCTATTTCAATTCAAAACATTCTAACAAGTAACTTATTATGACTATAAAACAACACTCGTATAAAACATTCGTATTTCCCATATAATTGTAATGGATCAATAACACTCGTACTATTATTTCTGAATGTACATTACCTCACATTGATTTTTAATCCAGTATCTAATCCATCCCACACATGTATATAAATGAAAGAACAATGTTGTGTGAGTAACTTGATATGATTATGAGCAATAGTTTGTGCTCAAAACGTCATCAGTTAATATAACTGTACAACAGTGTGTGATTTATCAAAATAAAATCTTATCGATAATGGAATTATACTCTACCACAGTGCCCAAGTTTTATACTTATATCGAGTGAGAAGATGGTTGAGTGTCAATTTAACAAGTGTGAAGGTGAGAAAATGTACAAAAGGAACATATAAGAGTGATAATAGTGGATTAATTATTAAAGTAAAAGCAAACTAAAAGTAAAATTGAAAATTAAAAAATTAATTTTTCTACAAGGAACAACCGGTGAAGAGGTTAAGACCAAGGTAGAATCAGAGACTGGACAAACTTTTTCTGCATACAGACTTCGGGGTTGTATTGACGAATTGCCAACGCTTCCGCCATACACAAATGACATGATCTTAACCATTTTATTAGTTGTTCCCTGTGAAAAAATTTTCTTTAATTTTCAATTTTACTTTTAGTTTGCTTTTACTTTAATAATTAATTCACTATTATCACCCTCATATGTTCCTTTTGTACATTTTCACACCCTCTTCACATATGTTAAATCGACACTCATCCATGTTCTCACTCAATGACAATGTCAACCTTATCAAATTTCCAACCCTTTCTTCCTTTGTGCTGTTGAGTACTACGTAATTTACAACTTTTAATTTCCCTTCTAAAGTCACTTCAAAGTAATTCCATCAATTATATCACCCCTACTAATACTGAATAATGGACTACTATATATTTTTGGTAAATATAAATACGACTGTGTAGAGCCTCAGAAGGAAGATGATTTCGTCGATAAAGAAGACTTTTTCCACTGAATTTGTCTTTTATTTCCTTCAAAACACGTAGTTCAACAAATAGGCTGTTGAATTGCACTTATATGCAATTTTTGGTTTTCATTAAAGAGGGTAGTAATCAAAGTGATGAGCCGTTATAGTTACAGTTGTTAATATTAGTCCATGCACAAGAGGAGTTGAATAAGTATGTTAGGGTTACGTAACAAAATGAATGAGTTGTGATCAGGATATACATCCAATCTCAACAAACGCCTCCTCCTTCAAAGTAATCTACAAAGTGAAGAACAACCTGACAAAGGCAATACGCTTTCATCTCCTGTGTACTACTGAAGCCTTAGACATTCAATTAGAAAAACCAAAATTATGCTTACAAAAGAAAATTATCCAAACACTGCTGTTACCACGGTAACAGAACCTTGTTGATTTCTACTGACTTGACTTTTGTTTGCTTGTTTTTTTTCAAACTCATAACTCTTGTATTTCTTTAAAGCTCTTAAGTAACTCCACATTCTCCTACACTTATATATGCATCCTGATTACAACTCATTCATTAAATTATTCATCATTACGCCAATTCAACTCCTTATATGCATTGACTAATATTAACAATTATGATTGTGACAACTCATCACTTTTGTTACTACCGTCTCTTATGAAACAAAAAATTGCACATAAATGAAATTGTACAGCTGAAAAGGAGAATGAATTCGCTGAAAACAGTCTCTTTGATGAACTATGCGTCTTGCTTTCATGAATGTCCCGATGGAGATTATTCATGAATAGAAAACATAAAACGAGCCTGCACATTAAGTTAGTTTATTTATTTTCATGTCTACAGTACACCATAGGTGTTTTTGTATTGTTTTACGGTTGTAGAAAAACGGAAAGGTTATTGGATCGATGGATAGCAAAGTCAATAACGGTAAAATGTGCGCCTCTAAACTTACACTATCTCCAGTAGTTTCACAGATATCGGTATCTGAAACTCTAGGGGTAATGAAATATTTTTAGCTCAGAAAGGCAAACTCCAAAAGAAGGGTTTACAAAAGCTAACGCTGAAAATATTCCCCTTCAGAGGCTTCAATGAATCTGGTTTTTTGATGGTAGTTAGACCACCTGAACAACTATTTTAACAATCTTTCAACTACAACCAATAGCATTCCATCTAATAGCATTCAGAGGCTGTTTAAAGATCAATAGAAAATAAAAACACCCATTGCAGTACCAGATGAGGCGCCAGAAATTAAAGGATGAAAGCAAGTTTCAGAAAGTAAAGCCAACGAAAGATTAGACTGAAAAAGTAAAAAACAAGGAAGTCACGCACTAAAGAAACTATGAGAAGGGTATATTCTAACAACAATATCTGTCTGTCTGTCTGTTTTCGACATAGAACTTTGCACAAATGTGCGGGAGTTCAAGTCACCACATTCCGTGTAGCACGCGAAGCAAGAGGAGAAAGTACAAGAAAAGCATAATAGAAACAGTGAGCAGAGGTGTGAGACAAAGAAGTAATAAAGAAATACAAAACAGTTTCATTGAAGATCATAAGTCACAGGGAGTGGATGCATCTGCGCCACTGAGAACGATTTTGAGCCATGTCACCAATTGTTTCCAACCATAGATTTTTACCGTCCCGAGGACCCCAGCCTGGAAGTCTACACCTTTCTACGTGGCTTAGACCAACTGTTGTGGATTTCATTGACTGGTGAGGCCAAGTTTTTGTTTGACCGCCGCTAGCTTTTTTCCAGCCTGACCCTATATCCGCTAACATTGCTCGTCGAGGGAGGCGATGGCTTGGCATACGTAACACATGTCCTAACCATCTCAGTCTTTGTAACTTCACGACTTCGTCGATTGATTTCCCCTGTTTACCTAGCACTCGACGCCTAACCTCAATACTGCTCACCTTATTATGCCACTTTACACGGGAAATAGAACGCAGGCACCTATGATCAAAGACAGCTAGTCTTTTCATGTCTTCCACTCTCAGTGGCCAGGTCTCACAACCATAAAGGAGGACGGAGCGGACTGATGAGCAGTACACCCGCCCTTTGGTCGATAGTCGAACATCTCGTCTACGCCAGAGTCGGCGTAAACTAACAAATGCGAAACGAGCCCCTTGTATTCGTGCTGAGATCTCGTCAGAGATCAGCCCGTTGGGGCTGATGGTACTTCCCAAATAAGTGAAGCGGTCAACGTGCTCTACCACTTCACTTCCTATTTTTAAACTAGGCGTCGATGTAGTCTAGTCCTGTAACATCATCTTGCATTTGGCGGGAGCGAATCGCATGCCAAACATTCGTAGATTGCGGCTCAAGGTGTTTAGAAGACTCTGCATTTCGTCAGCGTCTTCGCCTAGAGGGACTATATCGTCTGCATATTCCAAGTCAACGAGATTATTCCCCGGTAGCAAGTCAATCCCTGAGTCACTGAAGTCACCTAGGGTTAAGTCCATTAACACATCTATGATGAAGTTGAATAGAAAAGGAGATAATGGGCATCCTTGACGGACACTACTGGTCGTCATCAGTTCAGATGACAGCTCGCCGTAAGCCCTCACCTGGCTGTATGAGTACGAGTAGAGTGCCTTAATCAGTGCAATATATTTTCTTGGAATTCCCTTTACAGCCAAGCATCTCCAGAGAACTTCCCGATCGACAGAGTCGAATGCTGCCTTTAGGTCAAGAAATATAATGACTGTTGGACGTCGGTAGGAATGCCTATGTTCTAGAATCTGTCGGAGGGTGAAGACAAAATCCTGAAGCCCACAAGTAGCACCGTTTCACGGATTGTACGGTTCACTAAGGTGAGTAAATTAGAAGTCCTTGCTACTTTTTAATTCATGAATAATTCCCATTCGAACATTAGTAGACAAAAAACAAGTAGCTCAGCGAAGAGTCTCTTTTCGGCGAATTCATTTTCATAGCTGTACAATCACAAATATATATGGTTATTTTGTGTGTATACATTAAATTTGTCAAACGAAAATACAGTTAGTAAGTTCAGATGAATTTTTGACAACTCATCACTTTTGTTACTATCCTCTTATCAACATCCAATTCATCTGAACTTACTAATTGTATTTTCGTTTGACAAATTTAATGTATATATATATATATATATATAATAACCATATATATTCGCGATTGTATAGCTATGAAAATGAATTCGCCGAAAAGAGACTCTTCGCTGAACTACTTGTCTTTTGTCTACTAAATTAGAAGTGTCGATTTGTTCCATCTTAGTAAGTCTCACCTCCTAGCGCTATGTGATCTGTTTGAGTGCATCGTCGATTTGGTGATAGAGATTGACAAGTTAGGTAATGTCTGTCTTTGTGCCTTAAGTTAATGCTAACTAGGAACAGATGATTATCTGAACACAACTGTAGAAGACGATCACCATTGTCGGTTTGTTGGCAGGGAATTCCATACGTACCACCTACATACTTCCCTACTTAGGCATTGAAGTCGCCTTCTAAAACAACTATATCTGAACGTTTTGCTTTTTGCAGCAAAGTAGACAGTTTCAGGTAGAAATCATCTTTTAGTTCATCCGAACTGCAGTCTGTTGGGGCGTAAGCGAAGACTATGAAAAGACAAAGACGGGTAATGCCGTCCTTCTTTTTTCTAACGGACCCATTCAGATGGACCACACACATACGACTATCTACTGGGATCCAGTCAAGAAGTGGCTTTTCTGTTCAGCACTCAATGCTATCCCTATACCTGAGAGTCCTCGCGAACTAGCTGAAGGGTCTCCTGACACCCTTAAGGTGAATTTTGCAGATTCACCTTGTTGGTCGGGTGGGTTAAGTGAATAACCATACTAGGGTCTTGTATGAGTGTTTCCGAAACATAACATACAATCATGGTTGGAGATGCTAGAGTTCTTGCTAGTGATACCTCTTATCAAATTTGGCAGAGGGTCCTGACGTTAAATGCCCCGATATGAAGTTGGTGGCGTGACTTTAAAAGGCTATCGAGGGAGAGTTTTTTGGTTCCCATCGTTATTTGTGGTCACACAATGAAACGAAGATGACAGACTAGTCTGCAGAATAGTACTGACAGTAGTACGGAAGCAAGATGAGAGTGACAGGGATAAAGGAGGATCAACAGGAGGGCTACGCGTACTTTTGGAAGTGTGTGGGCCTTTACTTCCCGGTTTTTCACATTGTAGAAGCTAATCTTAGTTACAATAAGTATTCAGATAGGCAGTGAGTAGGCATGTATAATACATATCCCAAATAATAAGGTGGTGGACAATTATAGCTCTCTTCATGAACCTACTTTTTTACTTAGGACTACGATTAACTTCTATATTACATAATAGGATAGTTTTAATAAATATCACAGTTATATAGTATTACGTATTAACTGATGGTATTTTGAGCACGACTGATTGCTTTTTGAAGTCAAATAACCTGTTATACTAACAAACTACTTGTAGTTAGATGCACCAGTAACATTTCCCCCTAAAATCATTTAGGCGGACAGAATAATGATTAACATAATTCCCTCACCTAGCTGTAGGATATTCCTTAGGGTCTTACGAAGTAGCGCAGCGCTTTTGTATCTCCACATAGTATTGAGGCACCTAATGCATTTCTGTATACACTAAAACTGTCATAAGGAACGTTTTATGTTACTGTATGCACGTGGACAAAGTAGAGTAGTATGGCCTGCTTCCTGCAATATGAAAAAACGCCCCTTGCCAGTCCTAGTTCACTACATAGCCCCAAGTTCGGCAAATAGGGAAGGGAGAACATGTGGTTACCTATCCCACTTCTTAGATATCCTATCGCTGATGAAACTTGAAAGCACAAACAACATACAGCAAGCTCAATAAATCCAAGCTAACTAACACGGTGTTTAGTGGGTCTTAAAACTCTACAGTGGCCGTACGGTAGTAGAAATAAGTTCTAATTAGTGTTATAAGTTCATTCCTGTTTAACTGACTGGATGCTGCTGCCGGCGCAATGCAGGAGTTACACTAAAATACTTATTTTACAATTCACAAACTGGAGATGGAAATTACACTTGAAGTAGTAAAAACATGAACATGAAAATAGAACTTGTGAAGTCTGACTTTACACCTACCTTTACAATTTCAGGGAATAGCTCACAGAATATCTCAGACTTTAGGTTGAAATCCCCACTGCTTTTAGCTAACTGTTTCTTCATATTTGCTGTTGTTAGAATGCTGCCCATAGTACAAGTGTTTTCTAACATGAAACTTAACAAGCCTGTAAGAATAGAAGAGACAGACCAAGCAGGATTCCACGTGTCCGGATGGAAATCACTGATTGATAAACAAAGTCTGAAAAACGGGTCTGATGTGTCAACGCCTTCGCTTACCTGGTATTGCAGGCAAACCTACCATTCGGCGTTATCATATATATGGAAGGAGGGCGGAATGGAAAGTCTTTGGGGAATATAAGTTTGCCATGATAATAACCCCCTTTGTACGGTGAGTCAGAAGGTCCTTTAATTACATAATGCCATTCGAAAAGATTTGTTGGAAGTGGTTCTGCAGTTACAAAAGGTACAGGGTCTCGTGACAGTCGCAGGTAATCCTGTTTTAATCTTTGCAGAGCAGTGGAACAGTTAACTGGGCGAGTAGTTCCTGACATAAATCTGCTGTAACGCAACTATCGGTTGTAGTTTGTTAAGTTCCAATGTCCAATGTCAGATATCCAATATCCAATATCGTTTTTACGAGCTAGTATAAACCAATTTGATTTCTTTGTGCTCGCTTCTTGATTGTGAGGTATAGGTTCTTGATCTTCGGTAAACTTCTGCGTAGCTTGTCCCGCCACTCGACTGTCGTAGCTTTGGTTGACTCCAAAGGGAGTAGTGCTGGGATTAATTATATGTGGTTTGTAGTATGAGGTATGTTAAGACTGTTACTACTGTGATTGGAGTTGATCCTTTCGCCAGTTAGTCCTTCGGTATTGTCGACAAGAGAAAAGAGATAGTAATAATAATAATAATAGATATAATTAGTGAAGCTATTCAGACTAAGAGACAGAAACGAAAATAGGAAACGTAACAACAGTCAGCTCATTAAGTTTGAAGAATAATATATATATCGGTAATAGTAATAATAATAATAATAGTAATTATAATATTAATAAGTTGTCAGGAGAGTAAGACGGGAGAGAATGTAAAGAAGTAAAATGACGAGTTTAATTATCTACCCTGATTGGTAAATGCGATTTTAAGGAGATAGGCCATTTGGATGCAGTCCTTGTATCGCTGCATGGTTGTCCAGCCTTCGCTTAAAGGCGTCCAAAGACGGTGCCATAGCTACATCTGCCGGTAAGGAATTCCAGGGACGACAAACCCGCAGTGAAAAGAAGTGGGAGCGCACCCGGGTCCTTGCCCTCTGGTGAGCTATCCTTCTGGGATTTCCACGTGGAAGCCTATACCTACTCAATGGCAGAACACCTTTGTTTGGGTGATTCTGGTCATTTGTTATTTTGTAGGCAGTAATCAAATCCCCCCTAAGCCGACGGTAACTAAGTGTGAACAGGCCTAATTTCTTCAGCCTTTCATCATATGGTTTGTTTCGGAGACCAACCACTCCTTTTGTTGCCCGTCGTTGGACTCTTTCCAAGAGGTTGGCATCTCTTCTCAGCATTGGGGGTGCAATAATATTATGCACCTCAAGGTGTGGCCTGACGTATGTTTTGTACAACATTAGAAAGAGCTCAGGAGTGAGTGCACCTAACTGTCTATGCGTAAAGTGTATGACCGCATATGCCCTCGCTACATCCCCTGTGTAATTTACGCTTGTGTCCATTTTTTCCGTTAGAACTAGACCTAAGTCGCGTTCCGACGTTGTGCAGGACAAGCTTTCATTGCACAGGGTGTAACTTGCATTCTGCAGTCTACAGGTGCGCAACTTCACTACTTTGCACTTTTTCAAGTTGAAAGTCATGCCACTGGCCACCGCCCAGTCTTCCAGAAGGTTTAGGTCTTCCTGTAGCCTATCTGAGTCCTCCGGACACTTTATCGCCCTCCATATTTTTACGTCGTCAGCGTACAGGAGAGTCGGGCAGCTCAGACGGCGTGGTAGATCATTGATGAAAATCAAAAACATCAGTGGTCCTAGGATAGAACCCTGCGACACTCCTGATGACGATCTGTGCCAAGATGATCGGACTCGGTTAACCTTAGTGCAAAATTGCCTGTCGGCTAGGTAGTCCTTCAACCATGACAGAAGTGGCTCACCTATGCCTGCCTGGCTTATTTTATGTAGGAGAAGGTCATGGTGAACAGTGTCAAATGCCTTCTCAAAGTCTAGGAAGACCACATGGACTGGTACGTTCAAGTCCCAGCATGATGTCCAGTCGTCCCAAGCTGACAGTAGGTTAGTGACGCAGGATCTGCCTTTTCTGAAACCATGTTGGGCTTCATGTAGTATATTAGTCCTATCGAAATATTCCCTGATGTGGTCGTCAATAATACTTTCCAGTACTTTTGATACCACTGGGAGTAGAGCTACTGGTCTATAGCTAGCAGCGTTTTGCCTGTCCCCACCCTTGAAGATTGGAGAAAGGATGGCTCTTTTCCACTCCCTTGGCAGGGTCCCCGAATCCATTGAGTGTTGGAACAAGTCGCACAGGGGTCTACAGAGAGCCTCGGCGCACTGTTTCAGAACAGATGGCCTGATGTCATCACAACCTGGGGACTTCCCAGGTATGAGTCGCTGTAGCTTCCTTAGTACTATTGCGGGGTTTATTTGGGGAGTAGTCGCTAGGTCTTCCTCCTCTGAAATAGTGGTGCCACCATTTTGGTCCGTAACTGTAATATCCACATTGCTGTTTAGCTGTTTAGCGAAGGCTGAACTGAATGTTTCAGCCATCTCCAGACTAGTGAGATATTGACCGTTTGGGCCTACTAAGGCGCATGCCCCTTGGTTTGTCGGTTTTCTTTCCGACATGAATCGGTACAAGTTTTTAGGGTTTGATAGGAGTTTTTTAGCAAGGTTAGCCTGGAATGACCTTCTGTCCCTCCTGACTCTTGCATTACACCGGTTCCTGAGTTCGAGGTATGCATCATGGTCGGTCTGACTCTTAGATACACGCCACGTAAACCAAGCCTTCCGCTTTGCTTGCAGAATACGTTGCGTGCCTCTCTTCAACCATGACGTCTTTCTCTTGGGCTGTGTTGTGACTAAAGGGACGGTATCCGAGATTGCTGTATGGATAATCTTTTTTACCACTTCCCAGTGTTCATCCACAGATAGGTCGTCCCATGCTAAGGGCCAGTCTGCGTCGGACAAGAGCCTCCGCATTTCAGCATAGTCAGCCTTGCTGTAGCACAGACATGGTCGCGTAACATCCCATTGCAAACGCTCACGGAGGACAAGATCGAAACCTATGACTGCATGGTCACTGCTTCCCAGAGGAGTCATGATCTGGACCTTTTCGACGAGTAGCTGGTCACTAGTTAGAATATAATCTAGTTTTGATGACTTTCCACTAGGGCCCCACCTAGTGTCGTCTCCAACATTCTCAGTCAGTCCCGTGTTTCGAATAGTTTGCAGTAGGTTTCGGCCAAATTTTCCCTTAGCACACCCGGAGCCGAGGTTCAGTGATGGAGCATTGAAATCTCCAGCTATGGTGATTTGGTCGTAGCCCAAATCTCGTATTCCTGTGATAGTGCTGAGCAGTAGCTGATTGTGCTCTGCCCCACAGGTGGGAGATCGGTAGATGCCACCCAGTAAGTGCTTGGTGTGGCCTACGGTGAAATGACACCATATGGAGTCTGGGAGTTCGATAAGTGGTGGGTCCGTTGCGCGCACACATTTAAGTTGCCTATCAAAGTATATAGCAACTCCCCCTCCTTCCTTATTATCCCTGTCTCTTCTGACCAGTACCATATCACCTATACTGATTTCATTGTCGGCGATAGTGGGGTTTAGCCACGTTTCAGTAAGAATGATTATTTTCAGTTGAAGGTGTGCTTGGAGATTTCGGAGTTCACCTACTTTTCTTCTCAGCCCCCTCACATTGCTATATAGGCAACTGACAGTGAGTCTAACAACCTCAGAGTGTTGTGGGGTAGTTGACGTGAAACCGTCTGCTGGTGGGGGACTTGATGTTGGAACTAGTTGGCCGATTCCGATAGAACCGGCCCGTTGTAGTTTTTTTCAATGGATTTAGGCAGGACACTTGGGAGACACAGACTATTATTCTCAGAGCTGCATCGCTCTAGTGTCACCGAAGCTTGGGGTCGTATTAAAGCCTCAGTTTGCTGCCTCCTTATATTTCTGGGTCTGCTTTCACAGCATCGGATGTGTCCTCCAATTTTTCCCTTGGTCTCATACCACCGTTGAAGTGATATGGACAACTGCTCCGGGGAGTTGAATGTGACACATAGCAGCTTTGGAGAGTTAATCAATGTTAGATGAGCGGGACGAGGTAGTCGGAAAATGGAGATGGCTCCAGAAGCGCCAGGGGCCATCTGAGATGACAGCCATCTCCATTTCTGTACGTCGTGCATGTGTTTTTCACAAGCAGTGCCGGTTTCCAGCTCCGGAACACCGTGTACCACCATAGAGGTGGAAGGCATCAGTTCCGGTGACTCCCTCGCCATATTTCTGACAGCCCATGGTCTATCTTACCCTACATAGATATTTTAAGTTCTTTAAACGTGTAGTTACAACAAACTACAATTATAAATTTTAATATTATTGGAACTAGATGATTAACATTTCTACACAGGACAGTAATAATATTAGTTTACACATGATATAAAAGTTAGTATAACGGGACTAGTTAGTTTGTGTACCAAAATAACCACAGTTACTAAACAGAATATATATGTATATATTTATCAATCACTCCTTAAGGACTCCCGTTGCTTTCTTTTGCGTTGCTGTTGTTTGTCTTCTTTTTTCTCTCACCATTTCAGCTTCCATTTGACTTTTTGAATGAGAATGAATAATGTGGATATTTGACCATTTACAATGACAAATGATCTGCAAACATTATTGGTCCCGTGTCTTTCAGTTGCCTGGTTACTAACGAATTAACTTTCCCCACGACGCAACCTGGATTACATTTGTGGAATATACTCTTATACCAATGGAAAAGTATCTATTTGTAATACAACGTCACGATTGTAGCTTATAACATAACTGATCGTATCTGTAAAAATAGCTTCCTTATTACCCAATTTGGATATAAATCAAATCAAAAATAAGATTCGGATTTGTACACACCCAAGTTATATTGAGGAATTACTTCAAGCTTTAATTTTGCCCAAGTATTTTTAATCCATCCAAAACATACTTGGGATTTTTGTTAATGCGAAGTCAATATTCCTATATTTCATGATGTGCTCCATTGAATGACTGGTTATCATATTGTTCCCACAGACCTAAAAAAATGGCATGCATTTTCATGTAAATTTATATGTTTATATGAGAATATACATTATTATAATTATTATTAAAACAAAAACGCCAGCAACCATGTGACTTAACCATAAACCGAATTTATGAAATTTAATTTATGCTTATCCATGCCTGTATATTTGGTGTGTCCTACACAAGTAGGAAAAAATGTGTACTTTATTAAAACATTATTATTAATTATGATTGCTAATCGTATATGTAATT